TAAATGTCACATGTGTCCTCCATATAACCAAGGTTACATAAAAATTCAGTCTGATTTATGAAAGTGCACCTGTTCCAATAGCTGGAGTAAATCTGTGGTGCCAAATCTGTCTGTCACTAATAATAAATTAACAATTTTTAATTGCCAATGAGTACATGACTAATTTATGTACTAATTGGAAATTGAAAATTGTTAATTAGTGAAAGACAAATCTGTATGATTGTGGCTCACATGTGTGTGTAAGTGGTGATGATGAAAGGGGGAGGGAGGGGTATGCATAAAGAACCAGTCATTGCTTTTTCACAAAAAAAACCCTTAAAAAACAAAAAGATATATGAAGTGTGATTAATGTCTTTACAGCATAAGAATTAGTGAATCATTGTCATTAAATTTCTAAAGCTTAAGGAACGATGATACAAAGAATCTTTTGTCAGAATCTTGAAAATAAGATAAGTCATTTTAATAAAAGTAAAATGATCAAGTTGAATGACACAGATTTTAATTTTTCATTCAAAGTTTCTCAATGGGATTTAAGATAACAAAAATTCATAGCTTAATAAGGACGTTTACAGAAAGGTGGAATTCTGAACATCATAGAAAAGTTTACAATTTCTTAATATTTCAGAATTTTATTGCTGCCTGAAGAATTTCAGACACAGGAGGGAGGGAGGGAAATTATTTTTTTTTTAATTGAAGATAAATTTTAAATTTTTGATAAAAATCTCTGTAAACAATAAATGCGTTTTCTTTTATTAAAAGTATCTATCATCAACAGAAAACCCTAATTTTACTTAGATCTGACACTATATTTCAGTGTTTTGTATATGGCATGTGATACATGTAATGGGCAAAAAAAAGTTGATTAAATAAAAAAAATCTTCCTACTTTTAGTCAATAATTTTTTTTCATTTCAATGAGGCGGGAGGCAATTTATAATTTTATTTTGGCCTAATCATTTACAACCAAAATAAGTCCAAAAATATATACCTATCCAGGCATTCATTTTTTTTTGGGGGGGGGGGGGTTATCTGCATTTGCATTTGCCCTTAATAATCAGGGATTATTTCCTTTGCAGAAAGAGAATGCTTGTTTTGTTCATTCATTCATGAAAAACCATATTGTAAAAATGCCAAAAATTGAGAGCAATAAATCCACTGTAACATCTGTTGTTGTTGTTTTTTTCCCTATAAAAATGAAAACTGTACGTGCTCTTACGCACACACACTTACAATGGCTATGCCTTTTTATTTTGTGAAAGGGTACACAGAACTAATGATGTTAGCTCCATAACTAATAGTATACATGTATAAATGACATAAAATCTGCTTTTCAAGGCACTTAGATGAGGAAGCTATTTTGTGTTTTCCATGGATGTTCTATTCAATACTTTCTAAGTGCTTGTAACAATGTATTTTTGATATCGATTCTTTCTCCAATAAGCATAAGCTGGTATAAAACTAATCTGTTGTGATGTTGAAGGGCAGGTAACAGGTGGCAACTCACAATCTGTTACAAACATAAACCCCCCACAGACATACAAGTAACAAATTAATTTATACAATATATTAATTACCAAGCTATTCTTATAGTTTATGTTATTTTATTTAATATATATTGTCATAGTTCAGCTCCCTTCCCACCAATCTTTTTTTCAAATACAAATTGCAAATTATTTTAGCATTTGAAAGTCCCACTGAACTAGAACTGTCCAAAATGGACACAATTTGTTCAATCATTTAGAGATAAACTTATTGGAAATTGATCATTTACACATATCTTTAATAAATGAAACTAAGGCATAGCCCAATAAACCATCAATACTACTGATATGGACCAAACACAAATTATGAATTTTTTCAGTAGTGACCTTGAACTAGCTTGCACAAATGACCTAGGGTCAAAGTCATGACACACCCTCAGATCATAAACAATCTTTGTGTAAATGAGAACTCACCATGTTTATCAATGAGAAAGATATGGACCAAACATGAATTATGAACTTTTTCTTTCAGTGTCCTTGAATTTGCAAAAATAACCTTAGGTCATGGTCAAGTCACACCTTCAGCTCACAAGCAATCTTGGTATAATAATAAAATAGGAAACCCACCAAGTTTATCCATAAGAAAGATATGGACCAGACACATATTTTGCACTTTTTCTTTTAGTGACCTTGAATTTGCACAAATGACATTGGGTCACACCCTCAGGTCATAAGCAATTTTTTTGTGAAGCAGTAGATTCAAGTTTTGGCATAAGGAAGATATAGACCAAACACAGATTATAAACTTTTTCAGTGACCTTGGATCAAGCAGGTTGAAAGCAATCTTTGTGTAAAATGGGAACTCGTTAAGTTTATACGTAAGAAAGACATGGACTGGACACAAATTATGATCTTTTTCTTTCAATGATCTTGGACTTGCCCAAATGAACTTGAGTCAGGGTATTGAAACACCTTAAGGGGGCCGACTATAGTTTTATTATGTGAAAACTACAATAGCGAAACTCTTCATTTTTATACCATATATAGCTTACATTAACTTCAGTGTACATGCAAAGTTTGGGGGAAATCTATCGTCCAGGTATTTTTGAGGGACCGTCACAAAATACAGGTACATTTACTATAGAATTATATAGGAAAATTCCAATTTTTAGCACTTTAAAGCAAATTATACAAATACTACAATAGACATTTTGTTCAAACTATAATATTTGATTAGTAATACTATATTATACAATATATATAAGAATCACAAAATTCTACCGTCTTGTTACCAGAGGGGGCATCTCCAAATGCTAAAAATTAGCAAATTTTACTATTTTTATAAAGTATTACTAAATATGACGTACACAATGGATTCACATGAAAACATAATAAAAATGTTGGAGATATTCTCAAATTTCTATGTTTTAAATTTCAGGAGTGTATGTTTATTACTTTTATCTTTAATAATATTTTTATTACCCCTTTCTTTAGGAGCTACAAATTATCATAACGTCAAAAACACACTGCAACGACGTCAACCTACCTATCAATTGCAAAATCGGTTTAAAAAATCAGTTATGTCAAATTGTAATTACATTTTTATACCTATAATTTCTTAATTTTGTTTAATTTTAATAATTAAGAGAAAAAAAGTTGCATTAAAACAATAAGTACGCTTCATTTTACTATGATGCGCGAAATATTGCGCAATGGAAACTATAGTCGGCCCCCTTAAAGTCATGAACAATCTTTGTGTGAAAAAGTAGATTCTAATGTTCCTCCATAAGAAAGATAAGGACCAGACAGACAAATGAATGGACAGACAGATGGATGTACACAGTAATTACGAAATAACCACCACACCCCCACCTCTAATGGCTTTGCCCGTTATGCAAATTATCCCACATTTCCAACTATCATTGATGCCCTGGCATACTATATTAACTAGACAGTGATTCCTTAATAAATAGTAGCATTCTTTTTTCTTCTTTGTGATAACTCTTTGAAAGTTGGATGAGTTGATTTCTTGATAATTCAACCGGAATGTAAATTTCACCAAGCAAAAGGCCAGGAGCTAAGGAGGCCTAGCATGTAAATCTTGTGCAGCTGTCTTTGTGTCTGACATAAGTGGGCAAGGACAATTGAAATTGACATGGGAGACCTTGTGTAACAAATCTATTACAGAACATTTTTTAAATCTATATAAAATTTACAATCTTATGTCACAATTAGAAGTAAATAAAATTAATCACTGTCTAATTTATTGGGTATGCTATGGACATCAATGACAGGTGAGACATGGGATGTTATGCATACAGAGCTTCACAAACATTCTGTCATGTTTATTAATACCAAATAATTTTGTCACTAAAAATAAGGAGTCACAAAAATTTATTGATAAGCAGTATTTGGTCTTTTGTACATTCTAAAAGAAAAATTTATGAAAAATACATTTTTACGTTTTTTAATTGTTTGAAAATAAATTTTTCGGTTTTTCTCTATCAGATTTTTAATAAGGTTAGTGATATTGTACATACAAAAACTAATTTTTGACTAAAACATGTATATTTTATACTTCAGGAAGAATTTTTAAACATCATACTTCATACACAATTTTTGTATCAATGTATCATATCAAATCCCTCTGCATCGCAGTGCTTTCAAAATGATTCGAGACAAATGATATTTTTTACAGATATGGGAGGTACCTTGTGGAAGCAATTTATATTAAATATGTAATCAAATTGTTCACCATCAAATATTTTAGCTGGTACAATCATGAGTTCAGCCAGGCAAACATATCAGGTACTGATTTTAAAATCCTTTTGCTTCTAAAATGTGTAATTTAAAAAAAAGCCTTTTGCTTCTAAAATGTGTAAGTTAAAAAAATTGTTTGTGGTTTGCCCTTAGCAGACATTAACATAGTGTACAAGTGCTATATTAATTACAGATTATTATTTTGATTTTTCTAGACCACTCATAAAAAAACTGCAGCAGTTGTTCAGTTTTTAACTGTAATTACATGAACAAGTGGTGTCTGAATAAGAAACAAGGCATAATAAGGGAGCTTACTCTTGTATCTTTCGATCTTTCAAATAGATGATTTAAATTTCCTTCTAAATCACAGTTTTATAATACCACTTTTCTGAGTTTCACACTTTTTTTTTTACAACATAATACTCTTTGACTTACTCTTTTTTTAAAAGTCTTACTTATACATTTTACATGCTTACTAATCCTCACTGTTAATATGCCCATTGTAAGAAATGAGAACCTTAACTTCAGAATGTTTTATGCTACTTCAGTTAAATCTAATGTTTGCATTGCCACAGAAATTTGGAAATGTAGAAAGTCTGCTGACATTATTCACCCGAAGACAATACCTTTTGATCAGAAAACCTCACTTGAGCTTTTGGTCAAGTCAAATACATTGAAACTCTTCATAAAAAAAAAAAGAAATGATAAACTAGAGCTGGATGTGATTCCCAACTCCTAGAACTGAAATGAAGCCACTTACTCATTTCCTTGACATGGAGAATCAGTCTGGCTACCAGTGCTAGGTATTCCTCCTGAAATATAATCATTAATTACCGGTAAGTACAATAGGTAGATTTGTCTTCATGTAGACAAAACACTGATAATTGAAGGGCCAAGCATTTTGCTTTTTTGACTTTTGATTTTGATCTTATAGGCCTCAATCTTTAATGATGTGTAAATGCATAAAAGCTGAAAACATCCCAAATCCTAGGCTATTGCTATATAAGCATGTTCATGAGTAAATTATAATTTTTTACCAAAAACTATGATAACTATAAGGCATTCACATTGCCCAGGGCCATTTAAGACCATCAAAGAAGATAAAAGCATTATTTCCATGTTTGGGAGAATTACTATATACACATATTTGTTGTATCCAAACCAGATTTCAAATTTGAAGCAGATATGAACAATCTTCAAATCTGATCATTTAATTTTTTTTCTTTATTTTGAAGAGTGCAATGAAGATTTTAAAATTCAAAATGAACCTCATGGATATTTAGTGAAAAAAATACTGAATCACATAAAAATAAATATAAACAGTATAAGCTGTAGAAATCCTACCCTTGTTTTGGCTTTATGGAAGACATGGTTCTCCATTTCTATGCTGGATTTTGTCATGGGGGAAGCAGATGATCTTACAGCCTCCTCACTACGAAATCAAAAATAACTCAATAACATGAAGAACATAGCATGCACACTTACATTTTAAGTATAGGAGTTTGTTTGATTTCTTTTTGTGACATAAAAAGCAAGCTGAGGTTTATGCAAAAAATCTCTGTCAATCTTACAACAATTACTTAAACATGTTCTCTTTTTTAAAGACATTTTTATCAACTGAAGTGGTCATCTTGTCTGATAGCCACTTCTTAGGGAAATCACTGTAAAATAACACAATTTCTATGACACTACCTTGTTAAACAAATTTTCTCGAAGTAAATAAAATCTCTTCTTTCACTTTCACTACCTAAAGAATACCGAGGTCCCAACATGGGCACTCAAGGTAACAGAGATATGTTTGTCTAGATTTTTGGATTGAACACAGAACCTCTAACATAACATAAGAGATAAAACGTTCTATTGTCTTACTGACCAGGTTAGTTCTCTGTATTGGTAATAACTTTAACCCCTCTAACTCAATGCTTTAAATGTGAACAATTCAGAGAGTTCTAAATGTCAACATGACATGCAAATTCCATAAGAATAAAATATAGAGAAATTAGTTAAAATTACATCTTTATATGGATTATTTTTTAGGTTAACAGTTTTTTTTTCTCAATCTGATAAAGGTTTTTTAATGATAAAATTGGTAGTTATTCTCAGCGCTACTCCTTTTGTTAAATTTGTATTCTTCAAAATCATTTTGGATTGAATCCAATTTATCAGTTTGCTACATTGTGTGCATATCGGATACTGTATGCGTACGTAAATTAGCATATTCTTAATTTAGCGCAGTCACCAGGTATGGAGTGGTTGGCATAGTCATGAATTAGCGCTGCACATGTAGCGCTAAAAAATAAAATAAAAAAAACTTTTTGTTGTCTATGTGTTTGAGTAAAATTTTAACATCTTCCTATAAATAATTTTTAAACATCGTATTAGATTATTGCTGTTCAATTGGCGTGTCCACTTAGCTGAAAATAGCCTTAAGGTATTTATTGTGGGGTCGTAGTTTGGGTGTTGAGCATTTAATTAACTAAAGATTTTCTAGTCCAGGAGGATCAATAATTTGTAATTATATTAGAGCAGTATTGTGTAACTAAAACTGCACGTGCAATGTACATTGTCAAGGTTCACCTATAGAGCGTATGCGGGTTGACACAGTTGAACTGAATGGTCCAAGTGACAAGTGCCAATTACCCATTTCAAAATAAAGTTGATGCTCAAAAGTGAATTTGAAAAAGTGAATTTATTAACGATAATAGGGAATTAGTGCATTGCTGACTGCGCCAAAGCCGCTAAAATATGAAGCCCACTTTTTAAGTACACATACAGTATAATGAGGATTGGTCATGAGACCCAGTTAGAGATTTTTCTAAATACTAGCATCCCCGTTCTAGCTGCAGGACTGTAGTGTTATGGTTTTATATATTAGTCTTTGTTCATTACACTACACATGCTGTAATGCAAAAGAGATGCAATTTATGGCGAAAGATTTATTGCGTACTGTTGGGGAGAATTTCTCCACTTCCCAGCATTGGTAAATCATATATTTTTCACTCCCTAAGTCTAGACACATACTTTAACAAACATGTGTATTTTAATTACTTCCCAACCCGTTTTAGTCGCAGACCGATAAACTCCCCAGTTCATTAGGCTTTAGAGACGACTATTCAGGGTTGGGAGGTTGAATATAAAATGGGTCTTGAACTAGGGAGTAAAAGGTAGATGATTTACTAATGCTGGAAAGTAGAGAAGTTCTCCCTAACAGTGTGCAGAAAATCTTTGCAATAAATTGTACCTTTTTTGCATTACGAGATCAGTAGTGTTATGGTCAAAGACTAAATATAAAACAATAACACTACAGCTCCGCAGCTACCCAGTTTGGTCTACCAATTCCAGTTAGAAGGAAGTCATGCATTACTTGATAGAATGTTCTATCGTTAAAATGATAAATGTCCCGTGTATTCGTAATGTAGCCAAAGAAACACGGGCAATAACTCGTACTCAGTGCATTTACTACGAAAATCCCGTGAGTTCTGATTGTAAACATGGCAGGTAAATTTGAAGCGAGAAAAACCGTAGAGAAAATTAGCTGAATTTTTGTCTATTCGTGGATTTTTTGGGGATAAAAGGCATATACATTCTCAGAAAGGTTTGTTACAATTAATTTGGAAGTTATTTTCAGTGCAAATCTTTTTGTATTCTTCAAAATCGTTTTGGAGCGATTCTGCAATTATTTGCTACATTGCAAGTATATGGGAGGTATTCTAACTGTGGTGAGGGCTTGTCCCGAGACACAGTTAGATTATTCTAACTAATGCATTACATATTATTAAAAGAATAGGTGTTGCTTTTTTCTCCAAAAATGTTGCATCGGATCCTATAATCAGGTCCGGCACAATCTCTTGATTAAGCTATATAGCTTGATTTAGCTATATAGCTTTAATAAGCTATTCAGAATAGCTTGATTAAGCTATTTTCTCAGACTTTTTTCTCAAATGTGTTATTTTTTCAACATGTGCAAAAAGTCGGTGCACCTAGAGTGGAAATATTAAACTTTGTTCTCTTCTGAATACTTATAAAATCACTCACCAAATTGCGTCTCCTTGAGAGACTTTGTACTCAAAGTTTTAAAAGTTTTTGGGCTATTGATGAGTGACCACACAGTTATTTCTTGAATGAAATTATAAAGGTGGCCAGTATGGCCACTATTAGCAACAGTGCACAATTACATATTATTAAAAGAAAGTATTCAACAGTGTTGCTTTTTTTTGATCCAAAAATGTTGCATCGGACCCAAAATCAGGTCCAGCACAATCTTTTGATTAAGCTATATAACATGTATAAAGCTTGATTTGCTACATAGCTAATCAGAATAGCTTGATTAAGCTATTTTCTCAGACTTTTTTCTCAAATGTGTTATTTTTTCAACATGTGCAAAAAGTCGCACCTAGGTGCAGTGGAAATATTAAACTTTGTTCTCTTCTGAATACAATGCATGTAAAAATCACTCACCAAATTGCGTCTCCTTGAGAGACTTTTTTAATTCTTTTTATTCTTGTTTTTATAAACAATACTAACTAGTTCATCAATTATGATGATGTTATCTGACCGTTTTCAACCCATTTACCTGGTGACTCAAACTTTTAAGAGTTTTTGGGCTATTGATGAGTGACCACACAGTTATTTCTTGAATGAAATTATAAAGGTGGCCAGTTATGGCCAACAGGACAATTGATTAGCAACAGTTCAGCACAATGAGAAGCAATCATACTTACCCACGCCTCACCGCACACACAGTTACTCAAACAATGGAAATTCATATTTTGCTTAAAGTATTCAACAGCAGCAATGTAAGAACTTTCTATGATTCAGGTTGTATTTTTGATAGTCCATAGTACATATATGAATAGTCAAATACTTGCGACTTTTTGTTTATTTCTTTCAAAAAACTTTTTTGTGAAAAACTGCAGATAAATAGCTTTATCAAGCTATTTTGAATAGCTTAATAAAGCTATAAAGCTTTTTAAAGCTATATAGCTTAATCAAGAGAATGTGCTGGACCTGATAATGTTTTACACTTTTTTAAACAGAGCTATGACAATAAAATTGTAAGAGTCTATCAATGTCCATCATTAGCAAATCATTGTGAACTGAATTTAAAAATAATCTAAAAACTTAAAAATCTTTTTTTTTCCCATAACTTGAACTTTACTTATTAGTTTGGCGACAACCAACTTTCGTTTTTATGGTTTTTGTCGTGGTTAACAGATGATAAATTAGCATCAGTCTGACCTAAGAAGCAGTGTATAGTAGGCAATTTGAAACCGACAGAACTAATTGTACGAGTTTGTAAAGGTTTCACATTACAGTGACAACATAAATTATTTAAAATTATCAAAATATTTACATTTGCGCCACAACTTTAGAACGAAATGGTTCACTTCGCCAATCCATGGTTTGTTCAGCCATTTTCCATTGAAGAGTTCATCAGCGGGCAGTAACTCTAGATAAAAAAAAAATGGAGATATGAGTGCTTTGTTGCTAAGATTTTTGGGACTGGGATCTTTTAATATATCAGTATTTATTTAATTATTCAATCAACTTGATAAAATCTTTCTGAATTTTTAGTTTGAATTTGAACTACTTGAATTTAAGCCAGAATTGGTTTCTTTTTTTATTGTAAAATGACGACTCTTAGCAATGCTTAGAGCAGTGCTCGATACAGAGAGCTCAAAAGTATCCAACATCACTGACAACTTGCTTGAGGGCACCCTTCCCTTCACTCCAAAGCCAATCCATCTTGTCTCCATTAGTGATATAAATTAAATATTGACATCAAAAGCATTGCATTAAAAAAAAACAATCTATATACCATATATATTTAGGGCAGTTAAACTTAATTTATTTGGTCTGAGCAATACGTACTCAGTTTAAGTTATCTTTCTTTTCCTTGGTACCCTCAAATAAATAATATTTTGTTTTTTAATTTTTTGTTTCAAATTTTTGTCAACTATCATTATAGGCTTTATTTCTACTACTAAATTTGACGAAAATATGTTCAGATAAAAATCAGAATAAATTTTAGTAAATTATAGGGCATGCCCCCCCCCCCTATGTAATTATATTTTAGATATAAATGATTGGATCGACAGCATTTTAACCATTGGAAATTTTAATTAAAAGATACCCCACACACGAATATACATATTTCGTTGCAGTATAATGTATAATGAAATCAGGTGATGTTACTGATGTATGAATAAAGAATTTTTTGAAAGAAGTTGAACTTCTAGGCCAACCTCACCCCCATAGGGTTTTTGGTTTGGTAAGTTGATTTCTTTCTTTCTCTGGCGTCCTTAGCTTTAATTCCCTCAACTTTCAAAAACGATACTAAATTCTTGAAAAATGACTATAAGGACATGCAAGAAAATTTTCATAAAATATCAGCTTTTGTCTGCATCATATACCGGTATTTGTAATTTCGATTTTTAAGATTTGACTTTACGTTCGAAAAATCTTTCTATAGACCCCTTAATCGCAGAACAACTAAACACAATGCGGATTGCTATTTATTTATTCATCAATTTAATGCTACTATACAAATACTATCTGCATAATACTTGAATTATAATTTCAAACTATGCAAATTGATATTGAAAAGGAAAGTTATACAGTTGCATGTTTTAATAATACTTTTTACAATTTTCTGCTTGACCCCTTCCCTGGATTATTTGTTCGAGCTAATGTTGAACACATCACTTCTTTCCCTTTTTATCCTTTTCCATGTCCTTGGTTTCCTTTGAGCTTATGACCTGGAATGACTCAGAGGCTTGTGGGACACCCATAATGACGGGGTCTGAAATAGAACAGAGAAACCATTTAGAACGATAGATGCAGGTACCAGCTCATCTTCCCAAGTCAAGAGTTTCTGATCCGCTCCGCCCCACATTTATGTGGAGCGGAGCGGATCAGAATCTCTTGACTTGGGAAGAAAATACCAACTCGAAACAAAAATATCAAAAATTGAAATTTTGTGAAATTTTGCACCCCCCCCCGGAAATTAAAAATTGTTTTGAACAAAAATGCAAAGATTTAACAACATCAGCCTCGAGATTTCTTTGAAAAATATTTGTACCTCGTCCTTATATTGAGCTCGCTTTTCAGTTCCCAACAATTTTTAAGATTCGACAGTTATTCCTACACGTGCATGATTAATTTATTGAAAGGAAAAAAATATATATGGTATATATTCACCATCATTTGTTCCGTCTTTCCAGCTCATTTCTGTCTGTGTACTCTGAAATTTAATGCATACAAATTTTAATAAAAAATATTCATACACATGTTCAAGTATAAAGGTAATGAAGCTTAATATTACTAGAACAACGACGAACCTTATAATTTCTCTGCCTGTAGAGTTTTAAATAAACCCCACAACAAAAACATGACAGTAGAGTCTCGATAGCGGACATGCCAACTAAAGTAGACGTTGCTATTATTACGTCACAACGAAAGTAGAAAGTGACGTTTGGCGCTAAAAATGAAAGCTTATAGCCTAAGGGGAAACGTATAATTTCAAGTGAGAATTATTGAAAACAATACAAAACTATAGCGAACTAAAAGAAAGACTGAACTAAATACACACTCAACGTCTTGACGTCAACAAGGGTACACAATTGATTTTACAATCATGATTCAAAAACAAACAAACAAACAAACAAAAAACACATTTATTCAAAATTTCTGAAATTCACTGATAAGAGAATGATTTCAAGTCCCTATCAGAATGAAGAATGGAATACTAGGCCTACTCCTTCCCAAAAAATATGTATATACATTATGTGATTCTTTAAAGCGATATGAGCTGCGTTTTGGAGATATTTTTTTTTTTGTTGTTCAAAAATGCTATTATGATGAATCTATGTGTAAGTTAAACCATCTTGTTTAATTAGGCTGATATAAAGAATTATTATTTTTGTTTACAGAAGAAAGATTTCTACAAAGGAATCTGTAGTATACTCTTGTATAAGAAATCAATATTGTACAGGCCGACAATAATGTAATTTTGCTTTAATCAAAGCATATACATAGACAGTTCTTCTGTCTGAAATAAGTTTATAAAATTTTTAATGATCTTTTTCACAAAAAAGTAACATGCAGAAGCAAGGTCTTATATTTTCTACCGTCCTGTTTGATTAATAATCTTACACAGATAAAATGTCTTTGGGTCCGTCACTAACAGTTGTGTTTAGGACAGCGGAAAATACAGATGTTTAATATATTCATCGATTCACACTAGTAATTAAGACGCTCTTTGACAGTGTCTGGTTTTGTAAAACAATTTTCAATAGTCTCTGCTGATAGGGGATAAATTCCAGCAGCAAACATATCATTAACATCATAGAAAAGTCCTATTTGGGCATAAGACTATATATACCATGTTTTATTTGAATTTTTCCCTCGAAATATTTCTGCTGATATTCAAAAGCTGTGAAAAAAATCTAACCCCCCCTCTCTCTTAAATCCGAGTTACTCGTTTACTAGAAGGTTTTAATACGGTCATAAACCAGAACCCCCTAATTCCTACAAAAGAAACACTCCATGAGACACGTGTGAGGATTCTGACGCAATATTTAGATGTGTTTTATATATAGATTTTGTATACTAACCCCCCAGTAAGAGACGAGGGGGATTAACATAACAATGAGGGGTATATCTGATGTCGTATCTGTCTAGATCTCCCTCTTAGTACCATGTGATAAAAACAGAGGCAAAACACATGTGACTTCTGTGGGGATTTACAGCAAGTAGAAATTGTTACGTGTATTGATATATTCTCTTATAGCAGGTGGATCCGGTGTAAGAGAGAGAGAGAGAGAGAGAGAGAGAGAGAGAGAGAGAGAGAGAGAGAGAGAGAGAGAGTTCACGGTTAGAATCTGCATACAGTGTACATGTATTATTTTATAAAGATCACAAGAATTGAAATTATCTTTACAAATCATTTGTTACCAGTATATTTGTTATTTTAAAACTTTTTAAGAGCTGCAGAGCATCTCTTGCAATTTCAGGCAGATCTCGCATCATCAAAAGAAAATTAGTCCTAATTTTATTTAAAAATTACAAATTATAAATGCCGAATAGCCTGACTATTAACTTACGGTACTGTGGCGGAGGGGCTTAGCCCCCCCTTTTTTTTTTTTGCAAAGATATAATTGATATAGGCATGTGTCTTGAAAACTGTTTTTTGTTTGGTTTAGCCCCCCCCCCTCTCTTTCAATTAGCCCCCTCCCCCTTCTGACGACTAGGAATTAGTAAAAATATAATCGATCATATATTGTCTTCAATAAAATTTAGAATTTTTCAATTTACATGTATATTTTGTATTTAACAATTCATGCAAATGCAGTAAAAATGTCGAAGAGTTAGATGAAAGGACGTCTAATTTCAATTTGATTCATGCGAAGACTCAATCAACCTTTCACATGTTTCAGTGTACATTTTCCATTGTAAAAGTTTATATTTGAAAAATTGTGACACCCCTAACCCCAATACTACTTGCCTGTATTAATCAGCAAAACCACCCAAAGTGTACTGTTACCATGTATACTCATTGTAAGCTTGATGTTCAGAAGGTAAAAATTTATTTTTTTTTCATTAAAATATAACAAACTAAGTCCTATCCTTGGGCTAAACGTTGGGTTCTGGACCGTTAATTTCAATTATTGATTGATAGGTTATTGTTAATCATATTTGATAACCATACTGTTACAAACTCTACCTGTTAAATATCAATGGTCAAAAAGAAAGATTTTCAAATGTACGATCCTCTCCTATTCTGGAGATACATGTAGCTATAATTAAGCGGACTCCGAACCGTGGCTTGAGACGACGATTAAAGGTGCATAAACTTCATATCTGTGTCCATGCACCTTTAAAGCCCAGTTTTCAGGCTCTGGGCCATTAAACTTATAAACGAACTCACTTTTAATCTCAGTCTCACTATTTTGCTATATACTAACTACATGTATTCCTTTTGTAAAAGCGAGACTGGGATAAAAATTGAGCTCGTCTAAATTTTATGGCCACGGGGCCAGTACTTTGATTTATTTTTCTTTTCTGTCTGAGATCAGCACATACCGTACCATGGGGGTGATTTGAGTATCCACTCGGCAAGAAGACTTTTGACGCTGTTTACGGAGATTAAAGAAAATAAAGACAAGCATGGTTTTGTATTTGAATATAATCGTAGAAGACAATGTAACCCCCCTTTTTCCATGCGTTTCCCCTGAAAGTATAAATGAGTGCGATTCTGGGAGGGGGTACTGTTAAATACCTTGTGTTATTTGTGAATTAAAAAAAATATTACAGTAACAAGTGTCTGTGGGTTGAAGGTAACAAATTGTTCAAGCGAAAGGGATTCTCCGTCTTCGAAGAGGAGATAAGGAAATTGTATAAATTAAGAAAAGTGTATATATATGAAAATTGAATCTTTAAAGGACTCATTTGTTCAATACTGTTCAGATCTCCAGAGCAAAGGAGTCCAGCTAGTTTTATTCATGAACCAAAACATTTAAATTTTATAAATATGAGTACATGTGTATAATGTGAGCTCTGTGTGCCATAGGTATCTTTGCTGTGATACTCGATCATTCTCGTACAATAAAAAAATCTTCTGTCATTTAGTAATTCCCTTTTTATAATAATAAAATCGTTTCCCTTTTTACAAGTTATCGTTTTGTTCTCTCTTTGTATAGTGACATTTTGTAAAAATGTCCGAATTAGAGTTTGTCCACTTTTTAGCATTACCATTATTATAAAGTAATATACCGGTAATACACTGACACAATGCGATTTCAAAAGAAAGACATTAGTCAAGTGGTCGCTCTGAGTATCGTATCATATTCACCCTATTTTTCGATAAAGGCGAAGGATACGAAAAAAATCAAACAGATAAAACTTAAAATTATGATTATGATCTTTGGACCTGGGGTGTATATTCCGGGGGTGGGGGGTTGTCCACAAGCACCTGTGAACAGACTTGACAATAATTTACCACCACCATCCTTAAGATGGTGTTGGTGCCGAGGAGGGGGGTAAAAATAAAAACATTACACAATATATTATTGCTGTTTTTTGAGGTCAATACAATAATTTAGCCATCTGAGGGGTACAATATTCACCGAGCCAATATTCACCGAGCCCGAAGGGCGAGGTGAATATACTTCCAAGATGGCTAAATCACTGTGTTGACTGAAAAACCCCCCAGCAATAATTGTTTTATTATATGATTCACCGATAAAATGATCCAGCTCATTACCGGTACTTGTTTGCATTTAATTAAGTCCGAACCAAATACAAGAGAGAAGCAGAATTAAAATGTAAATAAACCATAACAGTCGTATCATATTGAAATAGTTTTTTGTCAATTTTAGTTGCCATGAAAAAATTATATAATGTCTGTCTTTTTTATGGGATAGATTTTGAAAGGAAGGAGTATTATCAGGGGAAACTGACGGCCAAAAAGTAAATATTGTTGTTCGGTAAAAGTGTTAGAGGAGGGTACCTGCATCCCCTCTTACCATCCTCACCCGAAAATATATATTCGCTTATGTTTTGTTCACATGAAAAAAAGTCATGGTCATTCAAATAGCATTCCAAAACAATTTGTATCAATTTTGAATTTCCCGATCTATTTTTAGATCAATGTAGAGAAAATAAATCCTTGTATTCACTTGAAACGCCACGTGCAGGTCAATACAACGTAGTATTTTTCTACCATAGTTGGATCTCAGCCAATCAGAGAGATGGAGATTATTCAACCATATAATAAAGTTTAATATTTACTAGATCAACCAAATCAGGTGTATAAAATGTTGTATTTTTCGGTTCGATGTTTAAAAATTAAGAAATGTGTCATTTAATATTCATACATGTGTATTGAGTAAGATTCCTGCGATGGAAACCTTTGATATATATTTTGTGAATGTAGAACTAAATGTCGACTTTCTTACATTAAATACATATAAAAAATAATCATTATTTTCCTGGGAGTGAATTACACATCTAAAATTATAAAATTTACATGTAGCTAGTTGAGCAAAAACATTTGTTATGCCACAAAATAAACAAGTAAATAAAATAAAAATATTTAATTATTTGTTAAATCGCGTCTTCTTTTTTAACAATACGGAATAAAAAAAATTGTAATGACTGAGACATATTGCAACACCCTTCTGAATATTCCGGATAAAAATAGCACTATCGTATAATACCCCCCAATTACGTTCTATTTCTTTTTATTTCAACCAATCAGATCGCAACACATATTAATATTCACAACTGCTAAACATTGGAATGTTCCATTCCTTGAAAACTACAAAATTCATTTCCCAAAGACACATAATTTAAAGTTTGTTAAACGAGACTTGAAGCTCAAGATATTGTGATGAAAGTATAATTTCAAAGAAAACACCGAATCCATAAACGTGGCATACCCCTCAGTTCAGGCCGGAAGTAGAATCGTCCTTTACCTAACACGGTACGACTTGTCGTGTTGCAGTACAGAGGTTTCTCTCAACATCTTGGAAACTCAAGCTAGAAATTTACTATTTCTGGCTTGAATTTCGATTAATCCGTAAGAGTCCATCAATAATTTAAATTAATAAATGAACTGGAGGTTTTAATCACCACGGAAAGTGCATGGTCCTGGCGTGATTAGTGTTTCGAGGATAATTTTTTTTCTAACGTGGTGACAACATGGAAGATGCACACACAAAAACGGTAGAAGAAGTGCTAGAATATTTCAAAGTTGATGAAGAAACTGGATTAACTGATGAACAAGCTAAAAAGGGACTTGAAAAATATGGACCAAATGGTGAGAAACGTTCAAAATAAATACAACCAATAGGAAAGTCAACGTGTTGCACTTTGATAGGTTAAACCTGTCATATTTATTTAACATTTAATCATGCCCGCTTATGATGACACATTATGAATTTGTCTTTTGGATGTAATGAATATGCATAAGTGAATAAGAGCTTTAATTGTGGTATCTGTTTATTAATGACATTCGCTTTTTCATTTGTTTTCTTTTAATCTTACAGCCTTACCAGCTGAGGAGGGTGAGTACCTTTTAACATATGTTAGATGTAAATGAAGACAGATTCATAGGCCACCAGATACTAGTTATTATGTCTTGTCAGATGTAGAGACAAATTTCTACATATACTAGTGTCACTGCTATTGAAAGTATACATCAAATTATATACGAATACCGTATACTGTCAATAACACAAAATAAAATAATTTTCTTTTTTTATAAACTATATTAATAAATATTGAAAAGGTAGCAAGCATGTCAATAATCTTGATAAAGTGGTAGTAGTTTTAAAGGCCTCTAATTCATTGATTGTAAACTGATTACCAGAAGAATACTTGAATAAGATTATACTTCCTTGTTGTTCTAATAATGGTAAAACAATATCCAGAAGCCACCCTAGAGAAGAATAAAATTGTAATTATCTGATAGGTATTTGTTTAATCACATACATAAAGACACAGGTGTACATTGATTCTCAATTTTAATGATGGGAATGATAGTTCTAAGGTTTAAAAAAAAAACATTTAAAAAAAAAAAACCCAATCTATCTTCTTACAAGGGAAAAAGGACTTCAAGATTTTATAAAACTTTTTTATTATATAGACTATTAAGTATTCATAAATTTATGTTATCTGCTGCCCTGTGAAATTATTGATTTATAAATGTATTTAAATATCTTGACCTTTGATACTACAGGTAAACCTTTGTGGGAGCTGATATTGGAACAGTTTGATGATCTCCTGGTCAAAATTCTTCTCCTGGCCGCTATTATTTCCTTCGTAAGTTTGTAGATTTTGTGCTTGTATCTTGACATTCTATTCATACATCAAAATCTGGATAAGACTGATTCAGAGAGACAGGTAGCAGCCACAGCTATCAATACGGTAGTCACTGCTGCCATCAAAAACTTCATCATGAAGCATTTCTAATATACAACAACTATCTACATTTTCCCTTTGCAATGAAAAGCCTTTCTATCAAAATGCTGTTTGAAGTAGGGGACATTGCATGTAGGTCATAAATCTTCAGTGAATCATTTCAAATTTGGTTTAGTGAAATTAAAGCACCTCAGAGCTACTTTATGTATAATTGTATTTTGTTAAACTCAGGGATATTCAATGTATTCCCATTTCTTAAGGATTTTGACAATATTTACAAGAAGCAACTATAAGCATCTTTACACTTAACGAGTTTTTCAGAATCTATTTGTGTGGTGTCTTAATATTAGATAAAGCTCTACAATAAGTTGTTAGAGGTTTATTTAGATCTTGTTTGTTCATTATTTGCCAAAGTTCAGTTAGTGTAGAAGGTTTTCTGGAGGAAATGAAAACAGGTCTGAAATTATGATGAAAGGCATTGCCAATATTGGGATCTTTTCTTTTTTCGGCATACAAACCGCTGAGCATGCTCATATTGTTCCTATGGCGTAACAGTAAACCCAAGTTTCAGCTGTTTTGCACAACTTTGCAAAACAGATTTGCTCCGTGGGGTTATGGGGATAACGTAATGTTTTAGTTCTCACCTTGAGCCTACAATGTGTATCTGCAGCAGAAGGAGTGAACGTCCTTCTGTCTGTAGTCAAGGTGAAGCAGGAAAAAAAGGGAAAGTTACCGATAAATGGAGGAAAGTGCTTAAATTGTTGATTTAATACTGGTATTTACAGATACAAGGAATATATATAATTCAGTAATAGATCTCTTTTTAGAGATTTTTCTGCTGTGATTTTGATTTTTTTTCTAAGAAAACTAATGAAAACTATCATTGTAATCATGATAAACTATTTGATATCTCCGCTTGATAAACACTAGAATACTCTTTTCTTTTAAGTGTGGAAAAATGTGTCATTGTTCAAGTCAGAAACTAAAGTAGGATGTCAGTAAATTCTTCTGTGAATTTAAAATAGTAACTAGGCTTAAATTTGTCTGTAGGGTCCTGTACCTTTTCAATGTGATAATTTTAAATTAAAAAATAAGTTTTAAAAAGGTTGGAAATTCTGATGAATTTACATGTTTTATTGTAAAATAAAGATATTTTATTTTAGGCTTATTCTCTATGGGCATTTTTATATAATCACAGAATTCAATATTGTTGAATAATTCTATCTGCTTGAATGTCATTTAGGAGTTTAATTACCTCAAAATAGTTGAGTAAAAAAGAGAGTCCTTTGAATTTCAATGTCAGACCTGCATGCAAGGGATGTTTAGCCCTGCACAGTATCTAATAAAGTGTTAGCTGTTTTAATAAAAAGTGGAGTGAGTATGTTCAAACTGAAGGTTTTTCTGACAAGTTGCAAGAGTTAATTTTTATCTGTATTTGGTAAGGAGCAATTACCAGGTCCGATTAATTGAAATCAGTATTTACATTTTTTCTCTCTGTCCTTGAGCTAATCCATCCATCATCATGATCATGTTTGCCTATTGCATGATTTGCATTACTCTCAGAACAATTCAATAAATAAATGGAGCTTCAGAGTAACAAATTGTCTTAATTTTACCTGGCAGCACAGGCTAGTGTGGAAATCTGGATAATCGGGATCAGCATTAAATATTATTTACTTCACACAAGTTTGCCCAGAAAATTGATTGGATTTTTGGCATCAGCTGTTTTTACTTGTCAGCCATTGGCACCCATATGTTGATTTTATTTCCATCCAAATCTGTATACATGTACCACATGCTGATGAATAGAGACTTGAAACACACTTAAATTACATCAAAATGCACAACAACTGATGAAATTTCAATATCTTGATAAAATCACTTGAATATTGAAAACATTTCAGAGATTCAAATGTTCTTTTAATGGAAATAAATTTCCACAAATATGAATATCAAAAGTGGCAATAAATCTAATATCTGAGAGGATTCTTTCATGCTGTCCAGCCGTGTCTATTTTATTATCCCTGACTTATTTTCTTGCTGATGTAAGTAATATCAGGACATTTTAATTACTGTTATAAGCATTTTCTGTCTTTTTTTTTCAGGTATTAGCCTGGTTTGAAGAAAGTGAAGATCAAGTAACAGCCTTTGTAGAACCCTTTGTGATTCTGACTATTCTTATATGTAATGCTGTAGTAGGAGTCTGGCAGGTAGGAATCTAAGCTCTCTGAGATCAGTGTTTAATGTCCATCTAACATTTTGTACAGAAAACAAAGCAATGAGAATTATACATTAACCTTGTTGACTTGATCTAATGTTCTGACAAATTATGAACAGTGGGAGGTAGTTATGAAAGTGACATTTATGCCAGGGTTTAATTTTCTTCTTTAAGTGCATGTTTATAGCTAAGATGCTTGAGTAGTTTGTTATTGAAATGATCATGTAACAGATATATCACTTGGAGGTGAATTAGAAGTTTGCCCCAGACCCTCAGTACTGCTGGTATTACATGTCTCCAGTTTTGAGAGAACAGTGAGGTTCAGGGTTGAGTTAGGTTACTTAGGTATATTATCCTGATTATCAGCAGTGGACTCTGTGTTGTATGGGAAGTACACAAACAGTGGGTATTTTAGCTGCTAATGAACTACAGGTGATTAACAGTATATTGCATGCTGGGAAAGCTTAGTCTGATGTAGAGGCATAACAATACAGAATGAAACAGAAGTCTGAATCAGGGCCCTAACTGTGATTAGTTACTAATGATATATCATCATCATATATATAGCAATAATTACATTGCATATTTATGAAAATAGGGTAATGGCTTGTCATTTATAAAAATTTGTGGTTGACACGAGGATTCAAACCACTTCAAGTGTGATGAAATTTATATTGAAATATTACATCAACATTTAGTGTAAAGTGCATATAAATGCCTTGTTAATCATTGCTCTATGAATATTTTGGTCAGTTGTCCTTCATTGTATGGTTGATGTACTCACTATTACTTGGCAGTTTTCCCTTAGTACATGTAGAACATATGTCAACTTCATGTTACTGTAATACTACGGTAGATGGACATCCCTTTCTGATAGAAGTTAATATGAGTCGGACAGAGCTTTAAACTGGCTTCAGGTATAGACATTGTCACAAACTAAAATTAATAAGTCAGGTAGAGGTAGGTGAAATTCACGGTTTGATAGACGAGATTAATGTTGTTTTTGGAATATAGGAGTAGGAAAACCTGGGTACACTATGTATGATTTGTTTGATCCTTTTATTGGATCTGTACATTTTCACAGGGAAGAGATAAGTTAAAGTAACATGATTCAATATGCCCTTAAGTATGTACAAATTTTGTAGAAAGTACAAATACAAATTTTTTGTAACTTGTGACATTTTATGATTTTCAAGATCAAAGATTAAAGGTTTTGATAAGTAAATGCCAGCATTTAGAGGCTTGCAGGTGCAGTAACAGTGAAAACAAATCCAGTATAAATCAAAACTGACTAACTGTTGTCATTTTTAGCTACATAAACTGATAACTGGCTGATATGATTAACAATTGCAGCCTCTATAAATATCAATCTGGGATTTATTAAATCATGTGGGTGGTTTCAGCAAAATGTCCAATTTTATGGCATGTTTTAATCTTGAGGTCTCTCTGTTCGGTGACTTTGAGGAAAAGATAAAACGTATAAAACTCCAGTTATTTATATGCTGTGCACTCCAGAGCTTATGTATGTGTGATGAGTCTAGTAGATACTGACGTCAGAGGACGTGGCCCCACATTCACCTGTATAGCACTGGAGAGATTTAATGCCACACAATGATCACACCCTCACTAAAGCTCTCTAATAATCGATGCCTTATGTATACCCCAAGTGATAAAAATACATCCTGTATGATTTTTTTTCTCTCATCTTGCATTTAATATTTTGACATATTTATTGGCTTTTTCAAAGTTATTAGAAGGCTTTTGATCTTTAAATAGATTTTTATTTGGGAATTAGGGTCTTATTCAAGGTAATTAAATGCCACCCAGATACTTTTCTGTGAATTTTAAGCAGTCTATAAACCCTTTTTATCAATTGTTAAAAGTATTACTTACTCTGTTAGAGCGTATGATAATAACATATTAAATCTGCTTGAAAGTAACCTGCAGATGATGACATGCAAACTTATATCATTTGATAGGCTTTTTAAAAATAGTCCCTGGAGTATTTTGATTCAAGGCAGTACATGGCTGCTATAAAGGAAATTGTATTTACCATATAAGACATAAGAATGTTGAAAAGCATTCTAGTTACACTTGCATTTTAAAATGATCCTTTTTTTATATTAGCTTTTTTGAGTAATTATAAATATTCAATACAACTGACGTGTTTTGTTGAGGCAAGCTTTGTAAATGTAAATTGCCAAAAGGAACACACAATATTTAGATGGTTTCCGTATTTGATTTGTCAGTCTTTTGATGTTGTAGGAAAGAAATGCTGAGAGTGCTATCGAAGCCCTGAAGGAGTATGAACCAGAAATTGCTAAAGTGATCAGAAAAAGTCACAGAGGCGTACAGAGAATTAAGGCCGTTAATTTAGTACCAGGCGATATTTGTGAAATCTCAGGTGAGATACTGTCACTGGAATCGGGGAATGATAATAAATATCTCGTATGGTAGGGGAATGATAATGAAGATCTCATATGGAATCAGGGGGAATGATAATAAATATCTCATGTGGAATCGGGGGAATGATAATAAATATCTCGTATGGAATCAGGGGGAATGATAATAAATATCTCATGTGGAATCAGAGAGAATGATAATAGATATCTCATATGGCACAGAATCAGGGGGAATGATAACAAATATTTCATATGGAATCAGGAGGAATGATAATATCTCATATGACAGGGGAATGATAAAAATGTCTCATATGGCACAGAATCAGGGGGAATGATAGTAAACATCTCATATATGGCACTGAAAAGAATTCCAATGTATCTCAACAGTGGTGAGAGAGAGCACTCATGCATAATTGGCATTAACGAATGCATCTTTGTAAGTCCTGAGTGGGATTTAAAGCAAAGATGTGGGTCTGAACGTAAAATAGTGTGAATATTTGCCAGTATTTTTAGAAGAAAATATGTGGCCTGTGATGTTATTAAAAGAATTTTTATAGAATACTTGAGATAAAAATTCATGTGATATTGTAAAAGCTACTGATTGAGATATACAGAAAACATATGATTCATAAAACTATAATGCAGATGTGTTTTGTAAAACAAATCCAGTTTCTTTGCACAAATTGGATTTGGCATCTGAAAAGTTACTGGTTCTTAAGACCTTAAGAATTGCTGAATAGACAAACTATTTTAACAAGCCAAATGTGTTTCATTGAAATATGTGCCACTTTGAACCTTCATAGGTTATAAGCATCATTTTACAACAGAAGGGGAGTAAAAACAAAAGGAAGGTCTAATTTAAGGCCTCTATTTATGTACAGATAAAGCACAGGAGCTGATAGAATAGATCAATTACGTGTGTCTCTTCCAAGACATACTTAATGACGAAACTGATCATAAGTAACAGGCTAACTGCTTCAGATGTTGAGGGCTGCAGTGAAATTCCTCTTTTATCTTTGAAGTGTGCTAAGAAGCTTTTAACTGGTGGTAATAATTGTTTGTGTATTTTTTCAGTTGGAGATAAAGTTCCAGCAGACATTAGGATTTCCACTATCCATTCCACAACGCTGCGCGTAGATCAGTCTATTTTAACTGGTAATTGACAATTTATTCCATGTTTTCTGCTCTAATGAGACTTAGCCTAGCTAATGAGTTTCAGTATTACATACAAATAGACATATTTATTGGAATAGCAAAGTCAGGAATGGTATTTTTCCAATAAAGATAGTTGCACATGATGAATAAATTTCTCATTTGAAGCAAACCAAATTTTTTTTGGAGGCAATGTTCTGCATGTAAAATACTCCACAAATTAACTTGTTATAATGCAGAAGGAAGTTTATTTCCTTTAAATCTTCAGAGATAATGAGTGTGTTTTTTTCTCTATTTAAGGTGAAAGTGTTAGTGTTATAAAACACACAGACCCCATTCCTGATGTGCGTGCAGTGAATCAGGACAAGAAAAACATACTATTTTCTGTAAGTAATGACATCTGACAATATAGACACCCCGTCTGGTATAAAGAATCGCTGTATCCTCAATCTAGAGAGACAGGATTTCAACAGATACAATAAACAATACTGGCATCTAAACCTAGTTATCATGATCATTGCTTACGAAGATGATGTTCATTATTGCTAACAAAGATAATATTCAATCTAGCCTATAAAGTGAACAGAAACAGTAGATATACATTATGTGTTGATACGCATCTAGAACAAATCATATACAAATTGCGATTAAGAGCTACTAATATAAATATTAGTTACAGAGACAGCAGACCTTTTTGTTATGTTTAATTTAGCAGGGAAAAAATAAAGATTAAAAGATGCAAGGTCTGTATTTCAGGCATTCAATTTCTTTTCTGTGTAGTAATTTGAGCTAAATTAAAAATGTTTCTATTCAGGGAACAAATATCTCAGCAGGGAAATGCAGGGGTATCGTCATAGGAACTGGATTGAACACAGAAATTGGTGAGTTTTTCGCTATTTTTAGGATCGAGGCATGCCCATGTACTAACTCAAAAAGTGCATCATGCATAGGTGCACAAAAACATCCTAAGTGCAAAGTAATGCTAAAACCTCAGTTGCCTTGAGTGTCGACAGGGTCATTTAATTTACTGCACAAATACAAAAAAAGCTGAAACAACAGGATTGCGGTGAGTTAGAGTGCTGAAATCTGATTGGTTGAAGTCAGGGTGATGATACCTGGAAACCTCATCAGTCAGCTGGCAGCTTAAAGCTGTCAGCGTTGTCAGAAATAGTATTGAACCCCACCGATTATTGCCCACAAAATTCAAAAAATTATTTTAAATATTCCCATGAAGATCACTATCCTCAGAATTTAAAGTATATGTTTATGTCAGAAAAAAAATTCCACTGTTTCCTTTTGACAAGGCAAAAACATGATAAGCATCACTGCTTCTTTTGAACCTGAAGAGATCCTGAGGTCACCCATTTTTGGAGAGGAAACTTGGGGAGAGAATATCATATTAACAGTGTTATCTTTTTGGAAATTGATGAGTTTCTCCATGTCAAAATAAATCATGTTAGAGATAATTTAAAATGCTTTAGATATTGTTTAAAGTCTAAATCAGTATTTCTCTGAAGTATTTTTGTCATAGGATGAAATATACACAGTCAAACCTCGTTATCTCAAACATGATAGGACTGAGAAAAAAACTTAGAGATATGGGAGGATACAAGATATCAGGGGAAAAATAATTATAGAGTATGTGGTTGGGACAAATCACTTTGACATATCAATAGTGTTTGAATTATCAATGTTCAAGATATCAAGGCTCAACTATATTTGTTATTTTGATAAAGATGAAAAAAAAATGCATAATTGCAAAGTTATCTTTGGTCAAAAAAATAAATAAATAAACAAAATTTAATTGTTGACATGTAATTACTCCTCTCCATGTAAGAGAAGTATTAGATTCAACTGGTTTCTCAATGCATCTAGTTATATCTTCCTAAAAAAGGGTTTGAACATTTTTTAAATGTAGGTATTTGCACTTTTTGATTTTCTTTGATTGAATCATCAAGTTATTTGAACTTAAGAATGTAAGAGCACATAGTTAGCATCACGAAAATGTATTGATTATGGCTTTCAAGAATATCTGAATTACAGATCTTTTTTTATTCTACATCCTGAAGATGAAACATCTCAGAATTATATAACATCGTTTATGTTCAGTGGCGGCCTTGCTGTGTGTTTTAATTAACTTGTGACAGGCTTCCTATTTTGTCAATAATTAAATCTCATAAGAGAAATCCCTGTGAACAGTTGGAGAGAGGACAAGTTCTCTTCCCTCCCAGTCACGTAAAAGGAGCTCAGGGAAGGTATGAAGAGGCAGCTCAATTTGAAACATTTCTTATGAATTCTTACAAAGTATGTAAACTCAGCAGTGGATGTTTACAAATTTTCACCAGAAAGATGTACCACATGTGAATTTTGTAATAAGACCTAGTCAGAGGTACAAAGTTTAATATCAGCGAAAAACGAAGATGCCTTGATTGGAATGTATGGGGGATCTTAGCCTCAACTGAAAATTTTTTGTTAAATTTCTTAAATATTTCAGTAAAAAGTGTTTAGTTTTTTAACCAGTCTGCATCACACACTCATCAAGTCTAACTATGTAAATTTTGTGGTTCCCAATAGTATAATCATAACCTCAGTTTAGTATAATGTCCATTTTAATTCCCTTTTGGCAATCTGTGAGTTTTGTTGCTTTGTAACCAAGGTATTTTGTCAATAAGTGATCCATAAATGCCTTTTAAGGTTATGAAAGTTTTTACAATATTGAAAATTTTGAAGTATTTTTTGTTAATTTTTGAGTAAATGAGATGATGCTATTCACTGATTGGTGGATGTCTAACTGTGAAGTCACTGATTGGTTGATATGTTGTGTGAGGAAGGTTGGATGATCAGAGAATGAGAGATTTATGATTTCATTTTGAGACATTTAATTTGTAAGATAAAGATCTGCAGGCCATGGATCAGAAATATTGATCTAATTCTGTCCAATATTTCACAGCTTACAGAAGCAAAGTGAAAAGGGTTGTCAAAATTAGTCAAGTCTTTTGTGCTCTGCTGACGGAAGATAAATCAGTTACTTGCTGTTTTGTCTTGTATACTTGCTCTCTCTGTCTTTCACATTTCCAGTTAAAGTAATGGTTATTAGACTTAAAGAATGCATTACATTGGTTTATATCGATGATGTGGAATTGTAGCTATAAACTAAGGGAACTCGATGGAGCTGCTTTGCAGTGATGCGTCAGAAGCCAAATCTGCGTCATTGATATACGTGTCTATATTTGGTGACCAGGTGTATTTTTGCTTTGTTTATTTGCTTTAATTAGATGTATTGAACTGCCGGTACAGTTCTGCTTGATTTGCATATTTTCAGTGGAGGTGCAAATCTAAGGTTACGGGGAAACATATGTTTTTGTGCACTGCTTAGAAGGTCAGTGGAAGGGCGCACGAATTGTGCGTCTTCTTTATCTTACATGGGAGCATTGGTCTTGCAAACTGCTGGAAAATCTTTATCACAACTGATTATTTTTTCTGTAGCAATGTGTATATTTATACATTAAGCATACCTCCTGACTGTCATAGCCATTTGAAATATTGTGAAGCATATGGAAACAATAGGCTTTAGACGTCACATTCATGATATTTACCCCTTACTAAATGCCTGGCTTAATTCATTTACATTTGTTCACCATATTCAATTCCTTGATATTAACTTGTAAGATAATGCAAACGGAATCATTACGTCAAGTCTGTAATCTTTCTGGCACCTGAAGCTAACATTAGGCTGTGCTCCACGAAATGACTTCACAAGTGAAAATCAGAAAATAGAATTCCAAGCTTCATTCCTTCCCCAAGCACTATTTCTATCTGAAATATCTTATATAACATGCAGATTGCATTCAAATGCATCAAATATTAACCCTGATAGATAAAATACAAAGAATTCATGTGCAGAACTATCATTTTGATAGTGTTCTTGATGAATCTGAGCTTTTAATCACATAGACTTTGATCGTCACTTGGTATCATCATTAATAATTTCTTTTTATCTCAAGAAAATTTTCAGCTGTGCTTGCAGTGATGGAAAACCTGTAGGTCACTGTACATTTTATTTAGGTGTTGGGGGTCTTAGGATGGCTAAGTTAAAAGTTGAATCTTGTTTGTTTTAGTGATTTCTGGTAGCAGGTGCTTTAATTATGACCATTAAAACAGGTAAAAGATTTGCCGGAGGTTGATAGATGTTTTGATAGGTGAGGTGTTGGGGAGATTTGTAAGACATAATATAATGAGTGCTGATGAGGCTAAGCTTGTAGAATATTTGGCATTTTGGTAGATTCCCTGGAGCAGAACCAGAGCTGGCATGCCTACAAATACCAGTCTTATTATAGACACACTCTGAACCTTAACAAAGACAGACACCCCTATTACTAAGTATAAGAATTTTCTCTAACTTTTACATATATTGATTACTGTAATGATATCGTTGAATAGAGATAGATTGGAATGTAAGAAGATCAGTCAGTAAAGCCCTGGTTGTGTTATTAGGCAGTGATGCATTAGAGGTCATTGAAGGTCTCGCACCTGATGAAGCCATGCTTCATTCTTCCTTTGCAGAATAAGCAGTAACTATCAGTCAAGACAAAAATGCAGAATTCAAGGATGTTCATGACATCACAAAAACATCAGAAAACGGAGGTCCTTATGATTTTTATGAATTTTTTGATCTTTTAGCCTGAGATAGAATGTTATCTGTTGAGGTTTTGTTGGAGATGGAGGTGAGATATTGGGTTATAAGACAGATTGATGGCAGTGGTGAGAGATAGGAGTCTGGTAGGGGTCTCTGTGTGTGTATGTGTGGGGAATCATTATTTCCTGTTTATATACAGGGCTACCTAGGATGGTTCTCACATGGAGTTATGATAGCAGTGAGGCTATAAACAGTGGCCAGGGCTAACTGACAGCAGTGTTTGGTCCTAATGTTACAGAGCTCTAACCAGAATCTCAAGCTAAATGTCATAAAGATACGGGGAAAAACATCATATAAAAAATTAAACACTAGGCCAGTGGATGAAATGCCAAGAAAATTTGAAAACTTTCAAAATATTTTGCATCAATTTGTACCCACTGAGTTGCTTTGAGGAAGTCCAGCTGAGTGTAAGAAAATCTTGTATGATGTCTAAGATTATGAATACAGAAATAATATGGAGTGTAAAATTATCATTAATATCTAAAAGACCCTTTAGATATATAAATATATTAAGTTCAAAGGAATATAGGTCATCATTAAAAAATATTACAGGGATATTGATGGCCTTTAGGATCTCAAAATTACACTGAGACTGAGATCATTAAAGTCAAGGAAAATCTATCCAAACTGTAATCATGATGAAGAAGCTAGTGTTAACACACACTTACAGGTTATAGTGATTTTTTATTTTCAATGTATCATCAGTTTACACGAAAGCAGCAAGTTTCTTAAATTTATTACATAATTTGTGTTAACAGAAGAAGCCCTGATCCATCATCAAGATGCTACACGATTAATGCCACCAAGTTATTGGGTATAATCTTAAAGAACAAGTGAAGTTATTCTGAAACACAAACTAAGGAAATACAGAGGAGAGTCGAGGGCAGACTTTGGTTATCTCTTTACAACACTAGTTTGTTTGTAAGATGACAGTGGGTCTGTATTCAGTATGTACCAGGAAGCCAGCTGGAAGTAGCTCTCTCTGTGGTGACACATCCCTACAGTACAATTATGTTTAGGGCAGCTTATTAACATAGGCAAAATATCTGTATGAAAATTTTAAAATGTGAAAACATCATTTTTGATAGTCTTTCATATTCAAGGAAAAATTTCTTTGCATGAAAAATTCAATACATTCAAGTCTTTTAGAAAAAAAAGTTGTACCTACATAAAAATTAGAAGAAATTGACAGAAAAATCTTTGTTTTAGTGTGGCCTTGTTTGTGTAATACATTTACAAACAATCAATTACTTTGTGTCATTGTTCGTCTCATCTAGTTGGTCATTTCTGACACTGGCTGTTCTAGGACACTCAGAAAGTGACAGTCTCAGTGTTATAATTGGCTGATCAATTCAGGCCCCTAAAAGACACTGTCAGTTCTCCAGGAAAACTTTGTCAAATACAAATCAAATTTCCAATATGAGACTGGCCAGCCAAGTATTTAGAGTTTAGTTCATTAAGTGTTTTTTCCAAGAGGCAATGCTTTATGGAAATTGATAAACTTAGGAAATAGATTCTTTAAACAAAATAATTATGGGTGTTCCAGTAATATTAACCAAAATTAAACCTCGATTTTGTTCAACTTTTGCACGTTTCGGGAAGGATCAGGAATATGACCTTCAAACTGCATGATAGTTTGATGCACACTCGACTGGTGCCTGTCTTGATGATATCTCAATGTTCTTCTCCTGATATAATATATATCTAATGTTTTAGTTGAGTCTTGTAATTCTTTAAGGTTTACATCATCCTTAGAATAGTGTAGGTAATAAAATAAATGAGATGAAATTTCAGAGTCTTTGTATGATATAATCTCAATAAAACCTGAGTCTATCCATCATTCTCCATACACCAGAACATGTACAGGCGCTCCATAAAATCCTCTCTCATACTGTGCTGCACACTATATTCGTAGAGGTGATAAATTAAAATGATCAGATCAGTTTTAATTGTGCATGCATGTCAAGATGAGGCAAGGATTAGATATTATGCTCACAATTTTATTTTTGCAATCAAAACTAGTTTATCAGTTGTAAAGTTGAGAGGGGAACAAAAAGTGTGGAATACTGTGAAGGTAAGAGGGAATTCTGGACAATTTATTGCTAAGCAGCGGGAGTCCCTGGAAGCTGTATGTTGGCAGGTGTATCTGCAGGTTATTTCTGGAGCTGTTTGCGTAATTAAGCATATTTTTTTCTGTCGTCAGCCTTCCCTTATGATGTAATGGTAATTGTCAAGTTATTCCAACAGTGTTCAAAGTAAGTGGTCCAAGATGGCCCGATTATGTCCTTTCAGAATCTATCCATTTCTCTCAGATTCCGTACAACCTTTTCTTTTGACTTACTGGAGTAATTGCAAGATAGTTTTAAGGAACTGTTTTCCTTTGTCTTTCATCAAGTGTCTTGCTCCTGAAAGCAAGCTTTGAAAATCTACAGCCAAATGAATGTTTGGTTTTAATTTATATAATCTCTTTCTGCAACAATTACATCACACAGTAACACATCCCCATTCTCAAGCACATTCCCATTACAGAACCACTGGTTATTTGTACCCCTGGCATGTGCATAAACAAACTCAAGAGATTTCATATGTCTACAGATCACAGCTATTTATGTGAAAGGTTTTTTTTTGCTGGATCTTGGAAAAAAGGTGTGCATAAGACATCAGTTTAGATTATATAAGACAGTTTGATTGTTTGTTGCTTTCTTATTGCATAATCAGCCTTTAACCAAAGTTATGATGCGTACTTTTATGATATGGAAAAGAAATGCTATTATCTTGAGAGAATGTCACAAATGGCCCAAAAAATCATCATCCACTTTCAAGTTAATTGACAACAAAACATTTCTGTATCATGATGTTTTATCCGCAAAAAAGAAGAGAAAAAATTCTGGCAGGAATCATTTTTTACCTAGTGGTTAATACACCTGGATATTATATACATAAAGATAGCCATCAGGATGAGGGTAGAAATAGCTGTATGTTGGAACATATCAAGATGAGGGAAGTAGGTCTGGGGATTATCTGATTGTCTTACTTATCCTGGCTTCTTCCTTAGTACACTAATTAACAACACTGTCAGCAGCTTTGTCCTGTATTAACAGATCTGAAGGTTATTTGACTTTTAAGTGCAGACTTCCTGACATTGCTTAGCTGACCTTTCACTATCTTCATATTATGTTTGGGATCCTCTTCCTTGCTAATAAAAATCAACTCCTGATTGTAAATCATAATTCTTTAGAGAGCATTTCTGATAAGTTCAGGGCCAATCTTTCATCAATGACTATGGGTCACTTTCCATTCCTTGGAGTTCAAGTAAAGCTATTTATTCGGAGTGTGTGGGTGTTTGGTCTTGATGTCACACCCAGTTTTACCTGTATTCTCTACCTATACCTGGGTGTAAGATCTTATACTTATAAATAGAATCTTACCCCTTTAAATGTTCCTATAAATCTCTAACTTATCTGAGATGTAGGTTGTGAAGAGCTCTGTACACAGGTTCTTCTCGTGTGAAGACCCGACTCACGGAATTCAATTTGCAAGAAAACAAGAAAATGTTTCATGTTGATTAAGGATAAGATCAGGTTTCATGTTTCTTTGTGACTGTTTTGCATATTGATTATTGGCTTATTCTTATCCTAAGATTTTTGACATCAGATAAAATGCCATTAATGCATGATGTGTATTGTGTGAATTATTTAAATCATGGCTGAAGGTCTTTTAATAAAAGCTTCATTATAGTAAGAGCAGAATGCTTATTGTACTGAGAGCAGGGCTGGGGAGCAAATCAAACAGGGTGATATGTACCGGCTATCAAGCAATTACCAATATAAATTTATTAATTAAAAAAATCTCATCAACTATCAACCTATTTTGGATAAAGAATTAATTTCATAGCTCAAAGTACACAAACAAAAAATATATATGAATTCTTGTGTATATATCAAACACACACACCAAATAATCCAAATTTATCTTAAAATTTTTGACTGCTTGTTCAGCCAGTCAAAAGAAGGATTTTTTCAAACTTCAATAGTTCTTTCATATTTTTGACATGGAACATAAATGAGCAAAAGCATTTATTTAACATTTATTACTAGCCCTTCGATTTAACTTCTACATTCCAAGCAAAATAGAAACAAAAATAATTTCACAAGTGTAATTTATGTCCCATCTCCTCCCCCAAATTTAAGTGTAATGAAGTATTTTTAGCATGATGACTGAATGTTAACTTGAATAAATTGTTAACTTATATAGAATTGAATTGTTTCTTTCTCTTTGCAGGAAAGATTCGGGACGAAATGATGGACACAGAGACAGAGAAAACTCCACTGCAACAGAAACTGGACGAATTCAGCCAGCAACTCTCCAAGGCAAGTCCTCAGCTGTTGTCTGGTTAATTTGGCCCACAAGTGGCTTATTATAACTGTAGATAGTGAGTCCGGTTCTATTTACACTGGTGGCAGCTGGAGAAATTTATTACCCTAAAAGATATCACACTTATGCAAAATTAGCATCAGGTTTTTTTTATGTGTGAATGTTCATGTACAGAAAATTAATTTCCTTTCATCAGCATAAAAATAGACTGTGGCAGATTCTCGAAATGTAATTAAATTATGTCCATAAGAGTTTACATGCCAGTATGGTTTTCTATTTGAGGCAGATAGTGCTTTGATTTAATTTGAGTTATGTAACAGCTAATTGATTTGTATCAACATGGATTATAAATCGAAATAAATTGCTATATTTACAGGTGATCACAGTTATTTGCGTGGCTGTATGGGCTATTAACATCGGCCATTTTAACGATCCCGCCCATGGTGGATCATGGATCAAGGTAACACAGTCTTACACTTAATTTTAATTAAGGCTTGATATTTTGTATAGAGAACTGTTTCTTGTAGCATTTATTCATGCATCTATAGTTCAGCATGGGCTCCATGTTTGAAGCAGTTAGGAGACAGGAGGAAGACATGGTTTTCAAAACACACGTCTGAGATATCAGAATCAACATAGTTATTTAGCAAAATAGTTCTGCAGTTTCTTTTAAAAAAGCATTTAAATGATTTTTATGGTTTGTAAACATGGTCGTGTTACTTTAATCACAGAACCTCCCTAGTTGATGGGGTCTTACCTTTGATGTGTTTACTTTACAGGGAGCTATCTACTACTTCAAGATCGCCGTCGCCTTGGCTGTGGCTGCCATCCCGGAGGGTCTGCCAGCTGTCATCACCACCTGTTTGGCTTTGGGTAAGGCCCCTTCCCCCATACCCACCCCCACCAACCATTCCCAGCCCCACCTGAGGGCCAGAAAAAAATGAAAAATTGGTTTTGTTTTATTGATTGAATGTTTAAACTTAGGTGCAATCTTTTGCCAGCCAATGATGCATGAGTCATAAAAAAATACTTTAGTATACATGTAAATAACAGGTGCCCTTTCAATGTATAACTTCAATACCTTAAAAAGGATGCAGTATATATAAAAATTCAATCCTTATGAAGAAGTCTGCAACTATTGTAGTGATTGTAATAAGTTAATGTTAATGTTAACTGTATTATATGTGGTGTGTTACAGGAACCAGAAGGATGGCCAAGAAGAATGCTATTGTCAGAAGCCTGCCCTCTGTGGAGACCCTGGGTTGTACCTCCATTATCTGCTCCGACAAGACCGGAACGCTCACCACTAACCAGATGTCTGTCTGTAGGGTAAGTTACACCTCAACATTACCACATTAGCTGGTATACAGTAAAACTTCGTTATAATGAAGTCACTTGGACCACCAAAATTACTTCGCTATATCCGTAATTCATTATATCTGTATAAGGAATTCGTTAAAATTATATAGTTGGGGATCCAAGTAAACCTTGCTATATCCTTGAATTCACAATTAAACAAGTTTTACTGTAGTAGTATTGTGGACTGTGAACATCAGTTATTAAAGATATTCCTTCTCTTGTAGATGTTCCTGTTTAATAAGATTGAGGGAAATGATATTAAGACTGATCAGTTTGAAATCACTGGATCCACCTATTCACCAGATGGAGACTTGTAAGTTGACCTACAGATGATGTGAGGGAGGAGAAAAAAGGCTATTGCTGAAAGAGAATTGGAGTGATTTTGTGAATTTTAATACTTTAGCTTGATATCAGGAAACATGTACCATATTCTGTAGTCTATGTTAATTATTTTACTACAGTGTATATGCTTTACAGTATATAGAATTTATCATTTTACTGACAGTGGTAACATTATTTTTGTATTCCCAACTTAAATTAAACAGTGCTAAAAATGAGAAAGGGGGGTTCAAAGAAATGTACACATAAACAAGGGAGATGAATAAATATTCTGAGTAAAACAAGGGAGATGAATCTTAAAATCTGCTTGGATTTTACAGATATGTTGGCAGTAAGAAAGTGAAGGCATCTGAATTCCCCGGACTGGAGGAAATAGCCACTATCTGTGTGATGTGTAATGATTCCAGTGTTGACTACAATGAGGTGAGGCTAATCACAGGAAAACTCTCTAATGGCTGATTAAGTCATTAAGGGTAGTTGTTTTCAAGTGTTCACACATAATATGGTGTGACAAGAAAACCAAAAGCAATGGTGTGAAAGCTTGAGTTGTTGAAATGAATTATACAGTGATTTTGATGCAATATTAAGAATGAGAGCTATGTACATAGATAATAAATAACAATAATAATTGTTTTAGGCTAAGGATACGTATGAGAAGGTAGGGGAGGCAACTGAGACAGCTTTGATTGTCCTGGCAGAGAAGATGAACTACTATAACACTGACAAAAGCAACCTGACCAAGCGCGAGAAAGGAACGGCCGCGGCCCACGTCATCCAGCAGATGTGGAAGAAAGAGTTCACGCTGGAGTTCTCCCGCGACAGAAAATCCATGAGTGTGTACTGCTCACCAAACAAACCCTCCAAAGCTGGAGGGGCCAAGATGTTCTGTAAGGTAAACAGTCCAAAAGTCTTAGGCTAAATGAAATGTAAATCAACTCAAAACAGCACAGACATCAAAGTCATCATTAAATAATTTTACTCGATTTTTTAAAAAATTAATCACAATGGGTAGATACATGTATTTGTTTTTTGTACTTTCAGGGTGCCCCTGAGGGTCTGTTAGACAGATGTACTCACGTACGAGTCCAAGGAAACAAAATCCCAATGTCACCTGCCATCAAAAATGAAATCATGAAGCATGTGAAATCCTACGGAACTGGTCAGTACTTGATAACAAGTCATGATACACAGATTATAAAGACATAATTCTTATCACAGAAAAACAAATCCACTTTTCATCATTTTTTTCTTTTGAATAGTTAGCCATTACATTTCATTATTAGCTGGATTAGGAAACAAAAAGTGAACATATTTGTAATAATATTTTTATTGTTTGGCTTAAAATACATTACCTTTTTGTCAATCATTACTCAGTGCCTGTTTATTTATCACTTAGTTCTGTTATATGTAGCTATATATTGTCTGTCTGTAGGTCGTGACACTCTAAGATGTCTGGCCTTGGCCACCATTGATAACCCACCCAGGAGAGAGGATATGGACTTGGAAGACTCCAGGAAATTCATTCAGTATGAGGTGAGAGAGATGAACATCACACTCATAGACAACATTATTCTTTGTATAAAGAAAAGACTCATTTTCTGTATGATTTCTTATTGCAAGCATTTGGAACCCTTTTAAAGTCTGGTTTTCTTTGTCAAAAAAGTTAAATGTTTGTGTCTGTTTTCTGTAGACTAACATGACATTTGTTGGAGTGGTTGGAATGTTGGATCCACCCCGTAAAGAGGTTATGTCCTCCATCAAGGAGTGCAGAGAGGCTGGTATCCGTGTCATTGTCATCACTGGAGACAACAAGGTTAGCAACTAATAAAGGGTCCACGAAGAACCCATGACACATTAAAGACTGAAAGAAATTTTTGTAAATTTTCTATTTGTGATAGTATATTTTATAAACTGTAATTTGATAGATGCACTATAGAAATATTCTTTTGAAAAACAGAACCCTGTCAGTGTGTCACTGTTTTGAAAATAATTTGTTTTCAAAAGTATAACTTTTAACTTAGGGAGTTTAGTTGGAGAGTCACTGAAATAAGAATCTTTTATACCGGGGCAATACATCACCATTATATATTATGATTTAGGCTACTGCTGAAGCAATCTGTAGGAGAATTGGTGTATTTGGAGAAAATGAATCCACTGAGGGCTTATCCTATACTGGACGTGAATTTGATGACCTTTCTCACGAGGAGCAGAGAGCAGCATGTATGAGGGCCAGACTGTTTGCCAGAGTGGAGCCCACACATAAGAGCAAGATTGTAGAGCACCTGCAGGCCGAGGGAGAAGTCTCCGCCATGGTTTGTCCCATTTTTATGATTTAGCATAATGTTCAACTAAGGTGACATGTGTGATTCAATCCCAAAATGTTTTCAGTGGGCACATCTAAAAAAATTATTAAATGGGTTTTAGACATTTGTGTTAACAGTGCTCTTTACAGAGGTTTAAATCTGAATTGATTATGAAGTTTTTAACCTAGGAGTAAGTAAACAGTCTTGAAAAAAGCATGCTGGTAAGTTATGATATTCTGAAACTTTCACTAGAACTAGATATTTTTCTATTTGTGAACAGACTGGTGATGGTGTAAATGATGCCCCCGCTCTGAAGAAAGCTGAGATTGGTATTGCTATGGGCTCTGGAACTGCTGTGGCCAAGTCTGCTTCAGAAATGGTGTTGGCTGATGACAACTTTGCCACCATTGTGTCAGCGGTAGAAGAAGGTCGTGCTATCTACAACAACATGAAACAATTCATTAGATACCTGATCTCATCAAACATCGGAGAGGTTGTATGGTAGGTGGATTAAAAAAAATAATTATGTTTTGCATGAAAACAATAGCAGATTAATTAATTTTTGTCATAAAACACTTTCTTGTAAAGCTGACTTGTTGGAAAACAGAAACTTGTTTGCACTAAATAGACATCTGAAAAATGAAATATTCTTGTTGACAGTATTTTCTTGACTGCTGCTCTGGGAATCCCTGAAGCTCTGATCCCTGTACAACTGCTGTGGGTCAACCTGGTCACTGATGGTTTCCCGGCAACTGCTCTCGGATTTAACCCACCTGACCTTGACATCATGAAGAAACCACCCAGGAACTCCAAGGAAGGCTTGATCACTGGCTGGCTGTTCTTCAGATATATGGCTATTGGAAGTAAGTGTGCAACAAAACTGTGTCTACAGGTTAAAGACTTTTTCTTGGTGTAAATTTCTATTTATTATTGTCATATTATATCAGAATTTGGTTTATAAATGCTTCTCTTTCAGTTTACGTTGGCTGTGCAACTGTTGGTGCTGCTGCCTGGTGGTTCATGGTGTACGATCAAGGCCCACAACTCAACTATTACCAACTTGTAAGATACTCAGCACTTGCTTTGATTATCTTTCACTTGCTCAAAAATGAATGTGATTATTATTTTATGGTCATTTTTACCACTATATCTATAATATTTGTTGTGTACTTTTATAACTGCTGTTCTTTATTTCAGGGTCATTCATCATTCATGTCATTATATATTATGACTTTGTATTAAGTATTGATATTTTATGAGACCTCTAACCCTTACAGACTCATCATATGCAATGCCCAGCCGAACCAGGAATGTTTAAGGGTGTAGACTGTCATATATTCAATGACCCTCATCCTATGACAATGGCTTTATCAGTCTTAGTCACAATAGAAATGCTGAATGCTCTTAACAGGTAATCAATCACTTCCCACAGTTCTACACACAAACACACACACAGGGTCCCCCACTCCTTCATATCATCATACTTGAATGGATGTGGAAGGCTTTAAGAAGCTTAGCATGTTCATTCTATCATCATCATTATTATCAGGCAAAGTTAAACATCTTGCTTATTTTATAGTTGTATAAGATAAAAATGATAGTAAGCAGGATGTTGAGTTTGCCACCCTATCTGCTCTGTCAATCCTAGCACTTACTTTGACCTCCCTCTGTCTCCCCCTCACAGACCCACCACTCCCAGTGTCTGGCCCAGGATGAAATGTTTAAAGGGGTGGATTGTGAAATCTTTGACAGCCCTCATCCCATGACCATGGCTCTCTCTGTCCTTGTTGTCATAGAGATGCTTAATGCCCTCAACAGGTAAGGAGCACGGCAACACAGGAAGTGCTTATTTCTAACGACAACTGTCGCCATATCAACAGTTGTCTTAGCAGCCAGTAGTTACCATAAGGGGATGCTTGTTGTCTATATAAGGAATGATTTCTGATTTCTGAATGTGAAGAAAATGTCAAGTAAAAACACAGCATGATACCTGTACTACAGAGGAGCAGATCAAAAGGGCTCTCTTGTTAAAGTATTGAGTAGATATGGTTGAGGGGTTACAGATAATTGGGGTAGTGATGCATCCTCTTGTGGTACAGGCTGTCCAGGAGCGGTTCCTGCATGTTGCTAATCATGTGTGCTCCTTATCTGTTTTCAGCCACACCTACGTACATTGTATGAAATCCTTGTCATGGCATTTTACAAAATAACTGCATGTCACATTACAAATATATACACATGTAAAGCATTCAATTTAGTTTAGAGATATTAGTTTAAAAGCTTATTAATTGCAAGTCAAATGGTTTTGAAAAAAAAAATCATTTTTTTGTGTTTTTGATAAATGGATTTGAGACTTGAATTTTTTCTATATAATGTGTGCAAGTTTTGAAACTATACATTTATGAAGTAGTATGCATGAAGAAATTTTAAATTGTATTTTCTTGGGTTTATTAACACTACAGCTGAAAATAGTTATGATAGATGTGAGTTTATATATTTTGAATTCTTGCTAAATTCAGCCTTTATAGAAAACAAATTTTTAAATTATATTCATTGGTACTGTGTTAGAATAACTATGACTAATGTCTTTGTTATCCATATACTTATATATACTTGTTTCCTTTGTCAGCTTGAGTGAGAACCAATCACTACTGGTGATGCCTCCCTGGTCAAACAAATGGCTGATTGCAGCCATCGCCCTCTCCATGGGCCTCCATTTCTTCATCCTCTATGTGGACTTTATGGCTGTAAGTACATGTGTATTAGTGGGTAATATGGAATACTTGAAAGTCCATACATTATGTCATTTGGTACATTATGGACATAGGCAAGACACTTCCTAAGATGGTCACTTTATATGTGGCATGTTGGTCACCATTCAGTTTTTTTTAATGACTTAACAATGACAGAACTGAAATTGAAATCAGGACATATTTCTTTCTTGCTTGTCTGCATTTTAAATCAAAGCAAACATGTTTAGAATTTCCAGTTAAAGAATTAGGTTATTGACAAGAAAACAGCTTCATATAAGGTGTAGATGAAACAAGAATGTGTTTCACTAATTAAACTGTTGTATGGATATTAATTATATAATTCTATGCAAAAAAAAAAAAAAATTAAGAATCTTGGATAACGGTGTCATTTTATGGTCACTAGAATGACTTCTATGTACCATTTACTAGATGCGTTACATAATGTCAGTGAGTAAATTTTAAGTGGAATGCTTCTTCTCTTAAATTTGCATTGAAACATCTTGCTGCATGTAATGTTTGCTCCAGAGATATTTATTCATAATTAAAACAGAACTTTCTAAAGCAATTGAAACACCTTCAAAAGCTTAAAAGGCATTATCTATTACAGTGTATGGATGGCAAACTCATTAAGTTTCAACAAAAAAAAAATGTCAGACACAAATCACTCTTCATTCAGTCAAAAAAAAAAATAGTAAAGAATATTTTGATATTTAAATATAATTTATGACAAAATTATAGAAATTAAAGAAAAAAATACTTACTGTTTATACACATCTCAGACAGCTTGTGCCCTTTTAATTTCTGCAAAGACTCCAATTTCTGTTATGCTCTGACATTATGTAATCTTCTTCAAGTCATATGAAGATCATGTCAAAGAAAATGTATCATACATGTATGTGCAGAATCATTTCATTGTCATATTGCTCAAGCAAATAAAAAAGGGTGCATATGGTAAATCACATCTATATATTGACTCACTTCCATCAATTTATACTAGGAAGTGTTACATTTGCCTAGTACATCATCTCTATAATATTTCTATGCATCCTTAATCTATATGAAAGGTTTAATAATCCCTGTTATTATTTTTTTACAGACCATTTTCCAGATTACACCCCTGAACTTGGCCGAGTGGATTGCTGTTTTGAAGATCTCCTTCCCTGTCATAATTCTGGATGAAACCCTCAAGTTTATCGCCCGCAAATTCACTGACGGTAATTCCTCCGTTGTTCTAGAATTATCAGTCCTTGTGGGCGTGTGGGCCGTGTATTTAGGAATGATGATCCTTATTCCTATATGATGATGAAGAGACCTAAGTGTTATGTCATATTCCCCCGTTTTTTTCTTCCCATTAACATGATTTTTGACATGTGATAACATCCCTCATACTGAACTCATGTAGAAACCTCCACCAAATATCTCTCTCCTAGTCAGCTCACAGATTTAGGAATTTTGAGAGCTCTTGGTTCATTTTGTAGACAAAAACATGAGAACATTTTATAAAACACCTAAAGATTCTCATAATGAAGGCATTTTCCCTCATCAACAGAAATTATTTCAAATTAGGGATCTTCTCTAAGAATCACATTTATTCCAATGCCTCTGGGCATTGAGAGCCTCTATTATATATTCATATATGCTCATTGTTAGAAATGAAATATTGCTTTTAGGTATTTGGAAATGTGTTGTTATTGTAATGCAGTGTAGTACATAAATCCAAGCTTAGATACATGTCTGTCAGACAACAAAAAAAAGAAGGAAAAATATCTGTTCTAAATAAGTCCTGGGTGATTTATTATAATGTAGTAAATAAGTACATATAGGAATTTCTTTGTGTAAGTGAAGTTTGTGAAGTATTTGTTAATATTTGGGAATGCAAAAGTGTGTAGTTAAATGCATGCATTCAGTTTGTGTCACCTTCATCTTTTATTCTCATTTTTAGAACCCTGAGAAAACAAACTCAATTCTGAACAAATTATCTTATTATCAGTGATTTTTGAAATAGATTTATCATCAGATTTCATATCCTCTCTGCAATGTCAGAACAACAAACTTCATATTTTCATTACCAATGTGAATTTCCCTGAAGATATAGTTTAGAACTGGAATCTTAGTACTGAATTGCATGCCTCTCTGCACTCTTCGTGTCCGCCTGTGGTCTTTTGTTTGTTTAGTGTTCAGTAGACTAAGCTTGGGTTTTTGTATACCTGCATCAGCAATGGAAATTGATCTGTACAGATAGATTTTCATTGGTTTCCATCGTATGTAAACTATACCCTTTTTCACTTTTTGAACTTTGTAATGGGTGTGTTATGCATTGCACTGCATTGCTAAATACTCGTATCATTTGAATGAGAAAATGAAACTAATTTGTGCAACATTTTGATCAGACACCATATGATGAATTCCCAGTTTCTTGACACTTGATATTGTAACAAAACAAGTAGTACTTTAACCAGCTTTTTAACAATAATACATTATAATGTGTACTACCAAACTTTAAAAAAAGATTTTTTTAACATAACTATAATAATGTTTAACATCACTCTGAGTCATTTTCTACTGTGAAGGCAATGCATCTGTATTGAAGTAATGAGGCTTTAGCATAACTACCCAACAAGTGTCTCCCCCTCCCCACCTCCTGTCATTTCTTACCTTAACACACAACTATCACTTGACAAAGATTAGGGATCAGGTCTTTTCACTTTTGAGTCAGCAGGTGATGTGCTTACTATGATTTCCTAAGAAAAATCTTCTGTAATGGCATTTTGGTTTTTCTTTCCTCTGGTGAAGGTTTTTTTTTTTCTTTAATCTTTAGATGGTAGTTGTGTGTTACTTAAAACTTTTGTAACTATATGGGATGAGTGTATATGCTTGTTTTAAATGGAAAACAAATTTTTTCAGTGGATGGTTAACTTCCATAAGAAAAGAAAAAATTAGGTAAAAACTGACCAAATATTGATAATCTATCTATGTAATCAAAGCATGCAAAACTCTCTTCAAAAGAGAGAACTAGCTAGTTAGGTAAAAACAAGGAACAAAAAACTGACCTGTCTATATACAATAAGATCTCTCTTCTCTTTGCTGAAAAATGAACAACCATCTCTTGGCGGTGCTGCACTATTCTTTTCATAACTAGAATTTGCTGTCTGAATTCTCAGTGAAATCCACAGTAGCAGATCATTGTAGAAATCTCTCTAGAGCATTCTGAAGCTGTCATGCAGCGCATAAGGCCGAGGGATGGTGCAACTCTATGCAGGGCTTATGTGCTCTCAGTGGTCGTATAGTCTACATGAAATGGGCAATTTTAATGTATTTATTGATAACCTCATTGAGGTTCATTTGTCATTCCATTTGTATCTGTACTGTAATATTGTAAGCCTGCAACGGACTGATTCAATTAAGTGATCATGTAAATGAAAGTGATTTTTTATTAAAAAGTATAAAAAAACAATGGCATGGTGTGTGTTTGGCTTTATTTCAGGGATGAGAACATTTTCTGATATCTTTATTTCTTCCTGCTTTGTACTAAAGCATGTTTCAGCATAAAGTACTAAAGCTTGGCTTGTGTTTTAGGCCACATTAGACTTCTGTACTCAATATCAAACATATATATATATATATATGTAGGTATTATTAATTCTTATATATAAATAGTATGGTTATATTAATCAACTTTAGCATGGTATCTGGTGAGTGTCAGAAAACTGCACCCCATTTTTCATCCATTAATTGCATGTGTTCATGCTGAAAGCCCATGTACTCTGTATTGTGTTATTGATTGGAAAACCCTACATCATAATAACTTGGTATACTGGAATATCCAAGATCTCCGGCTGAACACTGGGATATTGTTTTACAGGAAGTCGCAGAGATGCTCCTTTTTAAATACAATTTAATGGCCTTCTTGATATATCACTCTAGACACAATCTTTTATACTATCCAACACAAATTTAATGGTTTACTTTTCCTTCCTTTTGCTACCATAAAATAATGAAAAAGAAGGTAAATTCATTTTATTTTATAAAGCAGATTTATTTTAAATATATAATTGGGAATTTCTGTAGCCAAAGTTTGGTTTATTTACCCTCTTGCTTATGATATAAATTTTACATTTACCTTTACAAAGTAAATTTTTTGTAAATTATGCATTTAGATGGCTTTAATAACAAAAAGAAAAAAAAGAGGTAAATTTAGCGATTTTACTTGAGCAACAAAATGTTGCAAAATTGGACAACTTCAGAAATTACCCATCATACGTTAATTTCTTCTTTGAAACAAAAGCACTCGAATTATTTATTTCACGTGTATTATAACTAATATTGGTTGCATTGGATTTATTTATTTGCATTTTATCTCGATATTATTACATACACATGATTTATTATCATTATTTTGTCTTCTTCACGCTGCAGCTGGTTGCACTGATCTCTAAATGGTAAATTTTGAATATTTTTCCAAATTATTGCTGTTGTCCGTGTTTACTTTGGGAATTCTCTTTCATGACTATATTTTATTACACAATAAAAAAAAATTCTTTCACCCAAAGTCTAATAATAAATATAAGGAATTAACGCATATTTATAGCCTTGGATGCGATAAATGTTTGAATAAAAAAGTCAAATTTCCAGATGTAGAATTTACATCAATAACAATGTGAATTTATTACAACTAAATCGGTGCAGTCGATCGGTTTTCTCTTTATCACGATGTCCATCGACTTGTTTGAGTTCACCTTTCACAACCAAATCTTCATTGGCCACCATCTTTGATTGTGAACACCAATTTGGTTATCTCTTGCATGGTGTCTTAATTAAGTGTCGTTTGCATGTCTCTGTAATAATTTGTTTATGATAAATATATATTTAATGAGATAACCAAGGTAGAATTAAATTTTGACAATTGTGGTCCTATTTTCAGACTACCCAAATTTCTTCTGAACTCGTTCCCCCATCTTCGGCTTACAGTATGACGGAGCCTTTAGTGCCAGAATATGCACCTATCTGGACGCTTTTAGACATCATTTGAGTGTTCCGTCCAAATTTACTCAATTTTAGTCTGGTATCTTGCTACGAAGCGAGCTCTCCTAGGCATGAAGGGCATACAAGTGTTGCACGTTAGCAGACTACAGTTGATAATCACTGGATGACGTCAAAATAAAACATGGCGGATAAACAGTTTCTTTCTTAGCGACTGATAGAGAGTCTGTGAACCATTTGTAGAATGACTGTAAATTTCAGTTGTAAATGTGTAATATTATTGTTATTTATTTATAATTATATGGCATTATTTTATCTGCTTGAAATAGTTGTAGTAACAATTTGTAGTCTTGTATGTTTATACTTTTTACACTAGTATGCTCAAATAATGAAACAGCATTTGGAGTAGGTGCTTGCAAATATCATGTTAAGAGAGTCTTGCAGTTTTATGTACAAATTTAGGTTTTGCATGGGGATAAAGTGCTGTTTGCGCATATTGTGACGTTTCTGGAAGTTCAGTGCACCGTTGACTGCAAAATGTGCAATGTGACGCTCGAATGTAGTACATAACATCTGTGTTCTCTTAAATATGTCGGAAATCTAATTTTACGACCCAATTTTACAGTCCAAAACGTGGAACTAGACCCATACAAGAAATATAGGTAAAGATCAGGACAGTTCGAAGGATTGCAACATCCGGTTTCCGTAGAAAATCCGCCATGTTTCATAGTTATAATGCACAAACAGTTACCTCCCTTCTATGGATTGAAAATCCTGGCGGCATTAAGGTGAAATGTTTCGGAAGAAGAAATTCCAGTAGATCCGACAATCACTTCGAGCCAGGAATTTATTTCGAACACTCTTGAAAAACAGTACCTCTTTCTTCCATTTCAACGAAAATGTGTGACGTGTGTGATTCTGTAGTTTAGACTCCAAATTGATATATTTTATGCAAAAGTGTTTTTATCATTGAATGAATGTCCAGACAGGTCAATGTTATTGTGAGAGAACTGATAACATTATAGTTGTTGTTTACTTTGTCAACACCACGGAATGTTGACAAACTAAGTGACTTTCATTGTGTGAATGATGTTAGTTGTTGAACATTTTTTGAATATTTATCTATCGTCTCCCATAAAACTGGCAACTAGTTTCTGTATCTTCAGTACAGTGTTGTTAACTACTGGCTGTAATTTGATGTAATTGATAGGGCCGAATATTGACATCCGATTGTTGTTTTGTTTTGAGAGATAGCATATGCGGATTCATGTGGCCTCGAATAAAACTCTCAACAGGAAGTTTGGCAATCGTATGTATACACTACCGAAAATGTTTGTGTATACCAGTAGAGACATTCCAGGAAATTTAGAGACAGATTTATGAAATAATTATTTTATCGAGAAACTAAAGGCAGTTTTGATATGGAATTCAAACAGTTAACAGAAAACTAAGAAGAATATTCATTGCTATTATTGTGCTGTTCATACCACTGAAATCCCTGTTTGATCCACTCCCCATTACCTCAAGCATTGCCATGTGTAGCCCTCCTCGTCATTGACCACGTGCTTATCACGTGACTGCAATGAAATCCTGATGAAGAGTGAGCTGCTATAAAGAGTCGAACGTGTATTGTAGTTAGTGTTGTTTGACTGGTGTAATTGACTCCTTTAAATGGCAGCATTTCCCAAGGACTGCCAGTTTCCCGTAGAAATAAATTTACTATTTTGTTTGTATTTGACTGATGTTTTTTATTTATTGGGGGAAAGAGAAAAACAATTTGAAAATGGATGTGTTCGATTAATAACTTTCAAGTATGATGAAATGTAATTTGAGAGAAAAGCAACCAGGATTCAAAGTGCAGTTTTTCATTCATTATAAATTTGTTTATTTTGGCTGCAAAATTTTCCAACACTAGAGGTTACTCAAGCTGCTTGGGGAGGAAAAAAATACCAACATAGATCAGATCATGTGAGAGCGGCCATCCTGCTCTCGGTAAGGGTACATGTATCATTGACCAGAAAAGGAAATCTGTTTGTAAAACATCATTGACCCAAACTCAATAGTTGTATTGCGTAATCTAATCATCTTGTGATTGTATTACTTCTTTTTAAGTCAGGGACATGTCAAAGTGTCTGATTTCAACATACATATATAGCTTCCAACGTTTTAAATCTTGAGGCAGGAAAAGTTAATCGTAACATACATAAATATGTAACATCCAACTTTTTTGCACTACAAAGTAACGGACTCAAAAGATAATGAAAATCAAACCCCCTTGACCTTCACATTATCCAATTATTTTTAGGTAGGATGAGGGCTTTCTCTCAAAAGACAGCCTACGTCAAAGCCAAGTATGAACTTTTAACGTAATTTGAATAAAAAATATGGACAAGCCAAGCAGTTTACATTTCCTATAATTCGCTCTGATTTAAACTTGATTTATGTAATTATATAAATCGATCCTTTCATCAAAACCTTTGTTTGTGCGAAGCATAATCAAATGTTCCTCCATTAGAATAATAAGCCTGACAAGAATTTTACACTTACGATACATGTGATATTGATCTCGTTGATGCAGACCAAAATAGAACAAAATGTTATTATGATGACGCGTTCTTCGTTCTTATGGCCCTATCTCCAACTGTTCAGAAGTTATGGCCAAGGTTAAAGTGTGTGGGTTTTTTTTGGGGGGGGGGGGAGGTCAAACTCAAAGGTTAAAGTCAAGAGGTCAAATCTGGTGGTACCTTAAGAAAGGTCTTGTCACAAGGACTGCACAAATGAAACATGAAATCATAGCCTAGCCTACTCAAAAGTTATGGACAAGGTGAAAGTTTTTGAAGACAAACAGAAAGACAGATAGACAGACGGACAGGGCAAAAACTATATACCCCTGAATCTTCGAAAATAGTCCATCAAAAGCCGGGTTGCAATACAATTGAGCATTATAAGATGGAACCTGACTACTCACATATAATGATCAATGCAGATTTTGACTATAATTAATCTGTATACGGTAATAAAACAGATTTCTTAATGGTAATATACATCTTATGTTTAAGTCATGCTCAAAGTATAACAAGAATGGTTGATGCCATTGATATAACATGCACAATATTTCGAAAGCAAACCTTAGAAAATATTTGTCAAACCTCGAGCTCCATTAAGAACATGATTTATGTTCATTTCTCAAGAGTCAAGAGTGAAAAAAAAACACATTCTTTGTTCTGTATTTATCTTAACCATTTTCATGGCCTAACGATAACTTTAATATATACCTACATAGATTTCAATATGAACCCGATCCGATACTAATCATGTGCTTTCCCGGTGCCAGGATCATTTGAGTAAAGTTTTTAATAATTTTATTTGAAAATTTTAACAGAACAGAAAACCGTATTTACGTCAAACACATATAGAGTATAAACACTCACCCTTTGTCCTTTTAAATGATTAAAACTAAAAACATACCAAGTAATCGCCATTACGAACGTGGGTAATGCGTACCCCTAGGAATGTCTTATTTTTTATGGAGTGCATGTACTTTAACTATTATTATTACTTTTTTGTTTACATCTTTTATCGCGTCTAATTCATCTACAGCCCTCTTATTTTATAAGTAAGGAAACATGTATACAGGTAGTTAGATTTTAATAACTGACTTTAAATATGTATGTTATAATTGTATATCTAAAAGATGAAGATAACGAAAACCGACCGATATAACAAGTTGTGTTTCTGAAACACTAATGCCCCCGTATAGCAACATAGTGATAGCGAAGATGAAACTTTTCATAAATACAAATAAATATATCAGTACCCAAAGGAGGGTCTTCTCACAAGAAATACACTTGTGAAATATGGAAGTCCTGGCACCACCTGTTCAAAAGTTATGGCCAAGGATAAGTTTTTGAAAGGAAGGTCAAACTGCAGGGTCAAGGTCAAAAGTTTTTGGTTCCCGAAGACACGTTTTGTCACAAGTATTACATATGTGAAGTATGAAAGTCTTAGCCCTAACGTTCAAAAGTTATGCCAAGGTTCAAGTTTTTTACAAAGTAGGTCAAACCCCAAGGTCAAAGTTCTTGAAATCCAATGAAAGGTTTTGTCACAAGAATTAAATATGTAAAGCATGAAAGCCTTTAAATATGTAAAGCATGAAAGCCTTAGCCCTAGCCCATTAAAAGTGTCTATAGGAAGGGAGCCAACCACCTCAGGCAAACAGTTTGGTTCTTGAATCAGTTTCTTCCCACTTATCACATCAATCTTAATCTGTAGTAAAGAATATCAATAAATATCTCTTTGTCCAAAATTTCGTTTTCTGTTAGTATGGGAAAGAAATAAATTACATAAGAAAACATACCTGTAATATTATTATACAGCGTTCCGATAACTGATTCTAGTTGACCTACCTTGAATGGATGCTTCTGAAATCGTCCAAAATTAAAAACAGAAATGGATACTGGTAAAATAATAAAAAATAACGCCAAGACTGGATTTTGATAGATTTACTTTACTGTTTGCAATCTTTGCAAACAATTTTGATTTCCATGTAAAAACAATATTCCTCACAAAACCAGCCTAGTATAAGTAAAGAGTCAAAACCAATGTATACAATCAAGTTACTGGAAACAGAGAAGTTTTATATCCCTCATAAATATACAAAATAAATAATGATACGCTAAGTAATAAGTACATAATTATGTATAAATTCCACAATACATCATTTACTGTGATATTAAGTGATACATACGTATAAATCCCACAAAAAAAATTATATATTACGAGATTGTGACCATGAGTAAAACATATATAATTAACATCTAGTGATAAAGATGAAGGCACCAAATAGTATAAATTTGGGACTGGTAAAGTATTCTAAAAAGAATCATCAAAGAGATTCTGTGATCCCAGAGATTTTCAGACGAAAATATAAAATGCATGGAATTGAAAGCAGGATGAGATTCAACAAGACACAAGGTAGGGAATGCAAAATAAATATCTTTTGCTAAATCACTTTATATCGATGTATAAAGCCTTATATATGACATGTTCAGAAAGTAGAAAAATAGATTGTATGAGCATATTTAAATTTTTGCTTATCCAAAAAATCTTTAAACCATATCATGCATGTATCACAAAAGAAGAAATAAGTGTACTTAGAGTACATATGAAAAAGTAAAAGTAATAATATAATTGGGAAACTAAAAATAGTAAATATAGCCTCCATTATGGCCACGTGTGAGAAACATGCATAGAAATAAATAAAATGTCATACAAGTGTATTGAACCCTGTAACATACAACCCCATAATGACGTATTGTAACATTGCTACACACTGCTGCCTTGAATTGAGACTGGTTCCTACTTTTTGGGGAGATATATATCTTCTGCCCTCACTAACTCATCATCTCTCTGTAGCCGGAACACTTCTTTGACAGAAGCAACCTGTATCAGAAATGGTAATTGTTAACAAAAATACATCCTAGGTCTATCGTTTGAAAAAAAAAACTACGACAAGGTTACTCATGGTTAATATGGAAACAGAACACTTTTTGTTGCGATACGAAACACCCTTCCCCGTCACATATCAGGAAAGGTGCTATAAATTTTAGGTACGTTTCATTGTTTATTGACAATAAGACGTTCTGTAATGTTCAACAGTCACATATAGCGTTTATTTTTTTTAGGAAATATAAATGTATTTTTTAATATTTCATTATTATATAAATAAATATTCCGTGATATACATGTAGTTAACTACCCACATTTTTCTCTACTCCCGTCAGAGACTGATCTTTGTAAATGGTAGCAGTAGTTTGTTGCATAGCTGTAACGCAAGCTCGTAAGTTGTGATTGGCCCAAATCACCATTGAAACACCCATATCACGGAAATACTGAGTGGGGGTATTGTAATACTTGGTCGGTACTATAATTACTGGTCCCTAAAAAAAGTTAAACGTAAATATTTAGTGCTCGATTTATCAAGTTTGCTTGTAAAAGATATTTTATAATCTGAAGTTAATTACATTTGAAACTCAAATTCCCAATTTGAGAATCCTGCAGTCCATCACCTGATTATTCCATGCTTTCATAAAGGCTTCAATATCGGAAGGATCACTTTTCTTACTGTGCATTAGGATTGCATCAGCACCTAAAATAAACACCGTTGCACGATTACACATACAAAAAAGAATGTATTTATTACGAATCTTCTCTTTAAAATAGTACCTGCATTTCTGTACGCTTCAGCTCTTTTCAAAGCTTCATCTAATCCCCATCCAGCGATGAAAGCTTCAACTCGCGCAACAATGCAGAAATCCGGATCCGTCTGGGTGTCTTTACATGCCTATAAAATTACAGTACCAGTATTTTCAAAGTATCAACATCAATTCTGAAATTGCAAAATACTTCAACTAGGCCTACAAAGTATAATACATACCTTAATCTTCAAAGCAAACTCTTCAATATCTGCAAGAGGTTGTGCTCGACCATCATGAAGTGAATTGGTTTTGGGGAATAATTTATCTTCTAAACACGCACCTGTTAAAAATAAAAGCGCAGTCAATGAAACACTCTATATTAACAATAAACTGGACCCCTCTAGAATAGGGTTTTTTAAAAGGCTTACCTGCAATACCCCTATCTTCCAACTTCCGTACAAGCCTGCGCGCATTGTTAAAATTTCCATATCCGGTGTCAGCGTCTAGCAGGATGGGTATTGACGTAGCGTCACTCATAAACTCGATAACGTCAACAACCTGTGTCCACGATGCTTCATTGCTGTCTCGCACACCAAGCTGCGCCGATATGGATAACCCACTTCCCCAAATGCCACTGAAGCCTTTACAAGTAATGAAGAAAGAACATGCCAAAGTTCGTATCCTTCACAATTTCTAATAAGCATAGAATACGAAAAAAAAATCTAGGGATGGTTAATATCTGGTAATCATTAGAGGCAGATTGTCACGTTTTTTTTTTAGTATACTTAATTCTGTTATATTGAACAAGTAAAGAAAACAGACTAATTTAAGGTCTTTAATATCTTTAAAACTTGAAGTCTTCTACGCTGTTATTCAACGCATATAAAACAAAGAGTTTATTTATTATTTTATTATATAATTTATAAACAAATGTAATAATTAAACTATATTTGTTTGATGATCGTAAATGAGATTTATTGTACAAGGTACAAGTAACATACAATTTTTATAAATTAAGCCAAAATGTATTCTTTGTGAATTTACCAGCTTCTTCCACAATCCTCGCACTCAGGCCATTGTGGGCTTCCATAATAAATTCTAATTCCTTGGAATTCAACATATTCTTTAGTTTTGTCGTTTTCTGTGTGAAATAAATTGTCAAACATTGTATAAAAATGACATGCCATTCGGTGAGGCAAACTGTAAGACAGGTAGATTTGACTTATAACTTATGCTACCTTTGTATTCGATTGTGAGGACGACATTTTCCGCATCCCTGGAAACAGCATGTTCTCCACTGTAATGAAAATATCATCCGAGATAATTAATCGTGTGAAAGCAACAACATTTTACCCCTCCCCCTTTACCCAAATATTTATACACCGGCACAGCATGTCAAACTATCATGTAACCACGTGAAGTTAGGAGCCAATGAACATGCAAAAATACATACCGCGAACCTGCAAACTTTTCCTAAGAAGCGATCGCGAAACACAACCCAGAGCCATGATTAATTCCTGCTAGAACGCCACACCAGTCTTATCTCTCACACCCGACTGCCACGCTAGATTCAGTTCCCGTTCCGACACGTGGAGTGTGCATGTTATTATTGAACGACGACCGGTGTCGAGTCAAATCGATACTATAACAAATCGTACCTTATATTGACATAACAGAGGTATGTATATAAAGGGTCAATGTTGATTGTGTAATAAATCCTTAGTACTACAGTATTTGATTTTCTTCTCTCAACCATAAAACAAATAGAAATGATTTTCCTGTTAATTAAAATTTACACGAATTTACAAAACTGGAAAGGTAAAATTAACTTACACTGAAATCATGCACTGCTTTACAAAATAACTGAAAGGTTGGAATTCAGATTTTAGTAAGCTTAACAAATATATAAACATGGACTGTGTTATCAAATCAAACATTATATTCATATATTTCAGCCTCAATAATCGCACATCTTACCAAATATCGTAATATATTATTTAACTTTCTTTACTATATGATTGAATAATTTCCTTCTCTCTGATTGGCTGAGATCCAACAATGTTAGAAAAATACTACCTTATATTGACCTGCAGTTGACCTTCCCGGTCAATACAAGAAGTTGTTGCTGGTCAATATAATGAATCACGTAACCTTCTAGGTCAATATTATATAAATGGTGCCTGTTTTGGAAAAATAAAGCCTAAACTTATGTTATAAAGAAATCAAGTAAAAGCCTAAAAAAGAATTTAATTAAAGTTTTTGAAATTTAAGAGATTCAAAATTAGTTATTAAAATCGCTGCGGATAGTTTTGAATTTAATAAATTGCAAAAAATTAAATGTAAAAACGCATAGTTTTACGTTTGTATAACAATATCATTCAAATAACTTAGTTTGTTTGATACTGAATTGTGTCATTTATCATATAAAGTTTCGAATTTCTGGCTCGAGATAACCTACACTCGCAACATTATCGTCTATGTTTGTTGTTTTCAATAATATTGCCTCTCTCTGAATTCCGGTTCTTTCAAACGCGCAACAACGTTTTGAAAAAAACCGTACTACGCATGTATATTGTTGTGTTACCCGTTGTCACGTGTGTTGCTTCCAGGTCAACACAACGGATTGTTAACTGCGTCTAAACCAATCAGATTTTAGTATTTAACATGAAAGTATAATAAAAGAAATTATTGCAGGTCAATGTGTGGAATTATTCCTGTTCCATATTTCCTGTAACAATGTGTTTTGTTGAAATTTCTTGTTAAAACTTCCTTAAAGCAAAAACAGTCTTGTAGGAGTTTGCTTTCATTTAATCATCTAATAAAGCAGTTATTGCTGTTTTTTAAAGGTCAAAACGATGATTTAGCCACCTTCGAAATATACTATTCACTTCGCCCTTCGGGCTCAGTGGATATTGTACTCCTCAGGTGTCTTAATCATCGTATTGACGTCAAAAACAGCAATAATTGTATAGTATTCGATCTCGAAAGTCCATTTAACACAAAAAATAGCGGAGCAAATACGGACCCCCTAAACCATCAGAGGTGGGATTAGGTGCCATGGAGGAGTGAGCGTCCTCTGCCGACCGGTCTAACCCGCCGTCTTTGTCATCTTCGGGAAAAGAACCCAGAAAAATCCGTGGACAAATCAGTGTGTAAATAATGGCCTTACAATAAGTACGAAAATAGTCAGTCAGCATTTAACTTAATGATAAATTGTATTTGCTGACAAGGTCATTGTATTGATCATAGAGCTTACGAAATGATGACTCTTAACGAAACTGCTGATATTCTTGCTTCATCAACTTATTTTCAATAACTTACCTCTTTTTAGAAATTTTCGTACAAAGAACATGCTCTTCAACTGAGATGTAAACTTCGTAACTATGCAGGCAACAAAAGTATATTGCTGCATAAGTAAGGAAAGTTGTCGATTGAAAAGTTTGTCAACACGATTATTATAAAGCTTTGTTGTTAGACAATCATTAACGATTATTATAAAGCTTTGTTGTTAGACAATCATTAACGTCCTTTTCTTGTAAAATATGAAACAGATGTGTCAGACTCCGTCTCAGTATCTTTTATTTCAAACACATCGGGATATATCGTGTCGACAAAAGATTGGAATAACTATTTTTAATTGACAATACGTCGTTGATATATCTAAATGTCGAAGTTGAAGGCCATAGCCTTTTCAATATTTTCATCTTTTCATGTAAAGGATTTTGAATAAATTCGGCTTCATATGAATACAAAAAAAGTCTGCTAATATCGAGCAACAATTCGTACCAATGAGAATTCCAATAGATAGTTGGAAGGCCTGGTCTCCAAGAACGAAATAAATATTGTCAATAAGAAACTCCAGCATCTTTTTAATATCAACTTCAGAGTACTGATGTGTACAGTTAGATTGTTCTTTAACAAAGTAATTTTGCAAATGACCAATGACAAGGTAAGTAATTTTACGAGTTCCATTTTTATTGAAAAAGCAGCTGTCAATGATTTCAGAAAGCCTGGACTTTAATATATCGTAGGGAATAGTTGTGTATAAAGTTGAAAAGTCGTAAGTTTGTTGTTGATTTTGGTAAAAAATGAGTTGTGATTTCAAAAAGTTCTCTTAGTATCCACATCTGATTTACACCACTTCTCGAATATATTGTTGAACGTTACTCTTGAAGTTTCTCCACATTACTGTTAATATTTTCCCGAGGATTAAAGAAGAGGCTGGGTTGAACATTTACTGGAACCCGCTATGCAAATGTATCTTTGTAGGGATTTTTAAAATAAAGTTTTGGAATCCAATATAGATTATCTGATACGATAATTCAAATTCATTTTGGATGTATGGAATTTTTAAAAAAGTCAGATCTGACATATGATTTATAAGAATTTCCCCCTTCGAAAGGGAGCTATTAGTATAAGTTGGATATCACTGTTTTTATACTACTCTATATGAAACAAAAGTTATATACTTTAACACGGGAGAAGAAATCTCCTAATGTGGATGCCAACTCAAATTTTAATACAATATGTTTATCAATGACGTTTTCATTCATATATGGACTCGATATAGTACCATTATCCCAGTTTATGCCAATTCGATATACATTCATATGATTTAGCAGATGCAATCAACTGGTCGATAGGAAGCAGTGATATATCTTTATATACATCTATTTATTTTTATGTTCTGCAGTTTAATCTTACAAGTTCATTGAAGTTAGATTTTTTGCATATACTTATTACAATTTATAGTAAATATCATATACCCGGTACATATTAATATAATACAAACACCAGGTTTGATGGATGAATTTGTCATTAATTTTACATGTATAAATGACGACAGAAAATTAAAAGATAAATCAGATAAAGGGAAGATCACTCTTACACAATACATCACTGAAAAAGTTAAATACAAAACATTAGATGATTCCAACAATATATCAAAATACATTTAGATTATCCAAATTACTTTTAAAATCCAGTCTCCAAAAAATAACATTGAGCAAATAAGGTGGCAGACAAAAACTGCCCAAGTACAAGAGATGTTTGTACCGCGTTTATTTATATTTTCTAAATCTTGAAATTTCATAAAGAGAAATTTTACAGTTAAAGGACCACCTTTGAAAATAGGAATCTTCTAAACATTTTTTTTAATTAAAATTGCAAATATTAAAAAGAGGCTTCTTAAGAGATATTGCAGAGATTTATTATATAAGTCATTATTTTCTGTTTGATTGGTGTTATATTACATAACAAATAAAAGAGTTTTTTTCATGAGAAGTTATCTTCCTTTTTCAACAAATAGTAAAATGCTTGCAATGAGCTTATAAATACAAATTAAACTAACATGACTGACGTTTTCCATACTAATTATTAGGCCAATACGTACACACTGAATTGTCCACGGATTATTCCGTTTTCCTGATCATGAAAAGGAGTACACGGTGGGTTGACTTGTCGGAAGGAGATGTTTACTCCTCCATGGCACCTGATCCCACCTCTGATGTTTTAGATGTCCTTATTTGCTCTGCTCCTGATCTGCATTGTTTAAAGGACTTTGAGTTTGAATACTGTACATTATTATCATATAATATCGCCAGAAATCCTATACAATGTATGGCTCGACATTAGCAAATGGAAATGCTTTAAATAAGGGAAAAAACTTCAATGTCTTCACTAATCTGTCCATTAGTTACACATAATGATATATGAAAATGGGGAATAAGATACATGTACTAATTATTCAATATAGGGCCACGATAAAAAAACAAAACATTTATTATATTTTGTAGAATTACGAGGGGTTATCAAAAAGTTCGTGGACTGAGGCTATAAAATTAGTACTATGTAGTCTGTGCTTTCAAAATTTATATGGAACATAAAACAACAACAACAAAAAAATAATAAAAAAATGTTGAAAATTTTAGCTTGATACGTTCATTATTTACCAAATTATTATAAAATGAAAACGACAATATATATGATCACCCGGCGCTGTCGTCGTTTATTTTCATGACGTCCGATAACGACATTGTTTTTTTTCATTGTCTGCTTCTTCTACCTCATACACTTTCTTGATGAGAAACCCTGGAGCTGAGTAAGGACTTAAACCCGCCTTGTTTATATGACTTTACAATGTCATGAACAGTGGCCTTCAATGAATATAATATAAATGGATTAATACATAGAGATGATTGTGCCGGCATATTTTGCTTTTGGGAGTTCAATATCTACAACGCATGATTAACGTCATTTTTGACGTGATTGATTTTTCACACCTTGACTGCACATCGACATTAACTGTGTGTATAATCTATTTTGACAGTAAAAGACAAGTACTCTTGGTGCATTTTATTTCTCTGTAGCCAGTTTCAACATATTTTAGGTCTAACCAGTTTTTTTCAGGGGCAAAACTTTATAGAATGTTGAAATGACGTCATTTTCAAGGCCTCATTTGTTTGGACATTCCGTGTAAAATTTGCGATAAAATTTCATAGAACTTCCAGAATGAAGTGAAAATTTCGGAATTTATGGAACAGTTGTGTCCAGACACGTACCTGAATTAACGGGATTTTTGGATGTCAAATAATTATATCAAAAGAGTTTTCCTAAGTTACGCATAGGTCGCAAA